GACCATGGTCTTGGGACCATCAAATCGTGCAAAGAATATGGCGAATTGTCCGATGTACGACCAGTAAAACACCCTTATCATTACACGCAGCTCTTTTCTTGTCTTGTAAGCGTCTAAATTAATATTGCTGACTTACCATTGATCCTTGGATTCAGGCCAATCCTTTTGTTGTCTTCCCAGAGGAAGTCTTTTTCAAACTGCGAGAGCAGCCACACAAAGGTGACAATTTCGATGATGTCGAGGAGTACAGTCGCGAAAATCGCAATGGTCAGACCGTACCGTTTCGTTTCTGCCGTTAGTATACGGGCCAGGAAGGACAACGGTATCACCGTCTCATACACTACCACCACAATATACACCTTCGCCATGAACAGGTTCTGTGTGACGAGCACGACTGATACAAAGTAGGTTTTGTACAGGTTAAGGGCACTTAGCAAAGACACGTTCAGCCGAGCCTCATGGATTCTTAAGTCGTCGAATATTTCGTTGTTGAGATGGAACGCCAGAGCATAGACCAATAGCACGATACTGTGCAGGATGTAGTAGAACGGCAGTTTGGTTTGTGCATCTCTGAACTGAAAAAGTGTGGGCATAGTGCATGAGAAGACTCCATAGATTTATGGTCCCGTGCATAAATACATGGTTATGCAGAATACAATTTATATTTTGTTCTTACGGGGATAAAAATGGAAAGGACTCTTACGCAGCATATTCACCTTGATGCACCTCACCAGGTTCATAAATTGATGCACTAAGATCAAATATTGTCATGAAAGGATCCTCTTACAGATATTCATACATATTGAATGCGAACCAAGACATCAAATAGTATGAACGAAACACTCCAAGCCTATGCCATAAAACGATGAATTGTGGAAGAATGAAGACTCAGACAGTGAGTAAGCAGAGTAACATGTATCATCTTCAGAGCCTAGAATTCAAATATTTCCATATAAGAAAAACGATCTATGTGGTGTTTGCTTGGTGATGAAATAAAAATGAAGCACAATGCGCAAAAGAATAGCAATGGCACACTTGCTTGTGTGAATGGCAGCTGATGTATTCGGATAAAGCAAATTGGGTAGAGTTGTACTGCCTCCTAAGTTGTGTGGACCGAAACGGTCACCTGAAGATCAGAGAATGATAACTCAGCATTTTTAAAAAAAAGAGATGGCAACTCATAGTAGTAGGTGTAAAACCACAGCATATATCAGAGGAGCTGAGCCTAGATCTGTTGGAAATAGATCCTAAACAAGGATGAGGGCACTATCGATATCGATGTTCACAGGTGTTGTTCTGCGATCCCAGCACAGGAGTGTACAAAATAGATCATTGTTCAGTGTCTATGGCTGGATAAGCCCAAGAAAGATGTTTGACGGGATAACTGCGTGCCAGAGAGTGCTAAACAGAACTGAAGTTAAGTAAAGGTAAACTGAGCAACAAAATACGTGCGCAAAACCATAAACATTATGTTTATGTCATGGTGATGTATCAGAGGTACTCTGTGTTTGGTACAACGTGATATTTTATTTCAATGCAGGATTGGGATGCACTGTGAATATCAGTGGAGTGGTATGCTTAATTACCAACCTCATTTATAAAACAGTAAAATATTCCGCAAAATTGATAAAAAGCCTGAGTCATCAGCGATAGCATTCGTACATCTAAGTAAGACACGAGAACGTAAATTAATTATTTATTCTACTATAGTGACTGCTAATCATCTCTTCTTATACACGCATTCCTTTAGAAATATATCAGCCGCTCTATCGCATTCCTTGATTTTAACAAATTCAATGACAATAAAAAAATCATTTTTTGCGAGGACGCCACTCTTCTTAAACCCCATTGTCAACATCTGAGTGTAAAACTCGTTCAAATTGGTAATTCTGCTCAACACCTCTGCAATGATAACATTTCCATTTTTTTTAACCATCCTGTTACACTCCTTCATGGCAGCACCCACGTTATTCTTCATTAGAGACAAACAGTAAACTACACAATCATATTCCTCGTCACCACACTTTATCTCGTTGATGTCACATTTTATGATGCTTTCGTTGATAGGGTAGTAATCATATGAGCACACGTTGGGTATGGACTGCGCCAGGAGCGCCTCCCCGCATCCTACATCTGCAATTTTGCCATATTCCTTGGTTTTCAGATGTTCGATTATGGCGTTGATGGGATTCACGGGCCATTTATGGGTCTGAGAGCGATATCCTATGTGATATTCAAGAAGCTGTTCTGGTGCTATCTCCTGGTTCTTGTACATCAATTCGTTTATAATACGAAATTTTGCGCCTTCCAACCGTTTTTCATACTTTCTGATACACGACATACTATGGGGCGAGAAAAATTGCAATGAAATATTCTCTCAGCCTTGCTCAACGGATAAAGTAATTGAACAGAAAACATCAACGCTTACGATCTGCAGCATTCGTTCCATACATTTCAGAACATACGTTAGTTGTATGCCCAGATGAGCAGGTAACAGCTGTACCACGTACTTTTCTACAAATACCACCACCACATTCAAAACGTATTAAAACTAGCATTTGAGCTATTAAGCAGAGCATGTATCACATAATCACGTTTACCCGATACCTTTCGTTGTATAGGGCAACGGATGTTTACTAAAGGAGAAAAGTTAACGGCAATTGCTTTCTGCCAATGCTTCACTGCCACATACATCTTGCCCACCAGCTATATCATTAGTATTCAGTTGTATAGTTCTGTAAAAATTGGTTCATTTTTCTTGGTAGACATTCGATTCTCTCAGCCAATGAGCCATGCCGAAAAGCATTACATGGATTGAAAAATTCCTACATCGTGCTATAAATATCTAATACAGCCATTCTTACAACTTCTTGGCAAGAAGAAAGTTAAAGGAAAGATGTGGATGGCATGAACGCTACGGACAGAGAATTGCTGCATCAAATTGGCGTGCTGAAGAAGGAAATCAAACGAGTACAAAAAAACAATTCGCGGTTGAAAGAAGAAACAGAGAGAGTAACGAGAAATGAAGAGCAATTATGTCATGAATTCTATACATTTGTGGACAGTGCTGTGGATCGAATGCAAAGAATTATTTGCCGAATGAAAAAGATCTAGAGTGACTTAGTGTGTGATATAATAACTGTGGTATTTACATCATGATGATATTAACAGATTAAAATCACATCGATATGATCATATCCTGAGCTTTTTCCCAAAGGACCTTTTCATATTTTATTTTGCTAGGATTCTTCACCGCTCAAACACTAAATTTAGTGCCGTGTTGCCGCATCTTTTTTTTGCTTAAAATACGATCATCTACGTAGCAACAGTAAAACTGCTCTTGTAGTGCTCACTGTATTTAACAAATAACTTTTCAATGAGCTTGCCATGATGGTGAATATGGTCGCAAGCAATCAAATAAAGTAAATAAATCAACATTTTACCAAGGAATACAAATGGAGCAACTCTCCAGTACAGACAGCAAAACACTGAAATAAGATATGTTTTATTAAGCACACACTATCCTATGATCTAAATTGCTATCTTTACGTAATGGTAGCAAATAAAGCGCAGGCCCACGATATGGTTTTCATATTACAGCCGCTATAGATTAAATCCCACTATAGAGCAAAAAACACAAAACATGGAATATGTAGCGTTGCTAGCGTGTATATTGGTTAACATAGGTGATTCTGAACCACAAACATTAACACCTTTGTTCACAGACCCGAAGCAAAAACTAACACATAAAAATTATTTAACCCCTCCACAAGGAGATGCAAAACGACGGCAAAAAGGAACGAAAAATGATTTCCCGTGATTACTTAAATAATTTGAACCCCTACGCGTTCTTAAACCATTACGATCCAGAAAAAACGTTGGATGCGGGTAAATTAGCACATTTGGAGGCTACACGCAGAATACAACCGGAAATGACACCTCTTGCCGATATTGATTGTCTGGGTAGAGAAAGCGAAGTGCTGACCGACAAAATGATTAACATGATAAAAAATGAAATTATTGAGGAAATGAAATGCTTACTGACTGAAAACGGCCTGAACTTTGATGAAATTTATCAGGAGAAAACAGGTATAAACGAAGAAGTGCGGGTTGATGGAAAAAGCGTGTATGTGCACTGTTATGACAGTAATGCGATATTTAATATCATGGAGGATTACCTGCATCTCACTGGTATGAGCAGCCTTTGTCGTAAATATCACTGTGCCTTCCTTTACAAGAAACAGAGAAGACTGCATGAGAAGGTATTTAGGGGTTTCAACGATGTTCTTACCTCAAAGCGTTACGTGCCGAAGGAGATACACCTGCCCATTCCAAAAGAAATATCGAATCTGTCAGAGGCTCTCATTTTTAAAACGATTGTTGACAGGTACAAGGAAGAGCTGCAGCAGACACAGCGTGAGAGAAGAACTTTTATAAATAGCCATATCCTGGAGTGTTACTTGTCGTTTGTAGATCATAAAAAGAAAAGAAAAGATGAGCGCGATTTGCACTACGAATCTGTGAAGAAGCTGAAGGATGCCTTGCTCAAGGAAGATTAACAATTTTAAAATAATAAATAAAATTAAGTTGAAGAAAGAGCTATTTCAGGTTGATCAGCGAATTGGTAGCTCGTCATTTACCGCTTTGGCACGGCTTCGCAACGAAAAAGAACTGAGGACCTTTTCCTCAGCAATCACTTATTTACCGCATCAATAGCATTTTAGGGGTGGTTTTATGACGGACACATCGTTTGTGAAGAATGCTTTGTGCTCGTTGAATGACAGTGAGAATTGTAGCAAGAACTAGGAGACCAGCAAATACGAACGAGACCACGCAAACAGATGATCTGGCACTAAAATATTTTATACATAAAATGAAATTAATGCATTTACCACTGAAGGAACTGATCATAACACCACTTCTTTTGCCGCATCAAGATGACACCAGAATTGATCAGCGCGAACATTTTGTTTTGTATTATTGGTATGTGATTTATATGCTATCACATGGCATGTTTCTTGTTAAAGACGAAAGGCCGTTTCGAGAATGAAACTTGCAAAGATAAAACGATCAAACTGCCTTGCGAAACACCGCTGAAGCGACTTGCAGCCCCTCGCAAAACGGAGTTTTAAGTAAAAATTAGTTTGAGGCGCACTAAGAGACTTGACCATCAGGCTCCGTTAGAATTTTGCGGCTGCCGATCAAGGGCCCTTCTGACTTCTAAAATCGCAGGACCATAACAAAACCACACATTTTTTAATCGTCCTTTATTAAACACTCATGAGTAGAGATTTTGCGGCATTACTCCCTGCTTGAGATAGAATATCTTGTCCTTAGCCTTGATGAAATCTTCCATACAAACATGTCTGCGTCTCTCTCTCAGCGCATTCATTCCAGCCTCTGTACAAATTGCTTTTATATCTGAACCATTCAAATCTTCCTTAGAACTCACAAGCTCGTCAAGATTGACACTTTCATCGAGTGTCATCCGGCGTGTGTGTATCTCAAAAATAACCTTTTTAGTTGCAGCCGAGGGCATGGGAAACTCAATTTTTCGGTCAATTCTGCCCGGTCTTATAAGGGCAGGGTCGAGCGACTCGATACGATTCGTAGCCATGATAACTTTTATTCCCGGCTTGTTATCGAATCCATCCAACTGATTGAGCAACTCCAACATCGTTCTCTGTATTTCGCGCTGTGCGGCAGAACTGCTATCGTACCTTTTCTTTCCTATAGCATCAATTTCATCGATAAAAATTATTGATGGCGAGTACTGGTCCGCCAGCTTGAACAGCTCTCTTACAAGCTTTGGCCCATCACCTAAATACTTCTGAATTAACTCCGACCCAACTATTCGAAGAAACGTTGCGCTTGTCTGGTTGGCAACTGCCTTGGCAAGCAAGGTTTTCCCCGTTCCTGGCACTCCATAGAGAATTACGCCTTTAGGTGGATTTATTCCCATTTCCTGATACAATTCAGGATTGGTAAGCGGCAACTCAACGCTCTCCTTGATCTCCTGAATCTGCAAATCCAACCCACCAATATCCGCGTATGTCTCCGTGGGCGCTTTCTCCAGCTTCATGACACTCACAAGCGGGTCTGTCTCTCCCTCCAGTACGCCCACAACTGAATTATCCTTGTAGTTCAGAAGAACCGTGCTTCCCGGCTCCAAAACATCTTTATCAACGAAGCTGAGAATTTTTACGTAAAACTCCGGTCCTATGCCTGCACTCACAATTGCATGGTTATCATCCACAAACTCCTCCAGTGTGCCTACACTGAGGGGCGATCCTCGCATCTGCTCAACCATGCTTTTCTGATCGAGTAAGTTCTCATTTTCGTCCTCTTGGATACTCAGCAGGCTTTCCTCAAGCTGCAGATAGTCCAAAATTTTCTGATGTGTTTTTAGGCGTAGGCGACAGCGAGGCAAACTTGTGGTGGGCAACTTCGGCACTGTTTTGCTGTCTCTCACCAGTTTTTTGCGGCGTAGATTTAAGCTAGTGGTGTCCTGCTTTGGATTCGGTTTTGTTATCCGTGAACTGTTTACTCCCATTGAGGGGCTAAAAAACAAATGCTTAAATTTGCAACTGATGGATCTGCGTTTATCCCGTAAGGGCTCAAGCACGTTGCCACCCTATCTCTATTTGCAATGAATTTGTGGCAGAACATTGATGATGGAAAATGCCGAAGGGCAACTACGGGTAAGTGAACACATACTCATGAGCCACAGGCCAGCGACCACGGTTACTCCCAACGGATCAGACGCACTTATCTGTCTAGGTGTTGCGTGGAAAGTTACATACACGTAATTTTAGCGAAAAAACGAATCTTCAACTGAAAATATCTACTCTTGAACGTTTCCATCACGGCAGAGCATGATAATCACTCTACAACAAAACCTAGCGATTATTGGTATCTTAAGATTGGTACAATATCACACGAAGAGCAGACCCCGAATTGCACTACTATCAATAACTTCTTGGCAGCCATGCATTTCATGTAATTTGCTGTGAAAGCACAGAGCCTAAAAATACACAAGCGAGTAACTTGCTCAACCTGCATTACACAATGCATTCACGTCCTCATCGTTAACAAGTTCTGCGCTTCTCGGATTGTATTATTTGCTTGCCGAGATACTGAAAATTAATAAGTATTCATAACGCACATGCGATCGCTTCTATCAACCAAAACAGCGAGTGGTCCGTCAGATATCGAGTAAAAGTTCGGCTGTGCTTGTTTTATCTATTGCTTGGTGTTGCTCTACTGCAGCTTTAATTCGTATATGTAAATCTAAAAAACATTGTAACATCCGTAAATGAATCCTTTCACTATTTTTGTGTGACAGATTTTCGTACCCCATAAAAATGTACAACCCCAAGAAACTTGATGATATCGAAAATTACATTCTGCGAATAAAAAAGGGTTTAATGACGTTTGATATAAATAAGGATGACATAACGGACATGGCCATAGAAATGTCATCGCTGGGAAATATGGTGATGGATGTTGAGGAGCACAGCGTTGAGCTGACAGACGAAAAGGACCAGGAGAGATTCTTTGTGTACAAGAAAACTTTAAATGAGCTGCGCGACCAGTTGAACGAACTGAACAAGCAGAGAATATCGAGCGCTAGCTTTGAAGAAGTGAGTCGCTACGACGAAACGGGCGATGAACAGTTGAGTGAGAGCCAGCGGTTTTACAAACGTGGGAACGAAAAGCTTGATAGCTTGATTTCCGATGCTGTCAGCAATCTCGACAGCCTGTGTAAACAGAAGAGAATCATAAATAAAACGAGAAATACCCTTTTGAGGGGAAAAGATAGAATAGGGGATGGTATACAAGTGCTCAAATCAATAAGTGATAGATATTTGAATGATTATTATGTTTTTATAATTGGTGTTGCTGTTATTGTGTTCTTTATCGTAGTGGTGAAGGTTGTTTTATAAAATTGTGCAGAGGTGTTTTTTGGCTGAAAACCGGTGAAATAAACAATATTTTTAGTAACGTGCCATCCTGCGTTTGTGGGTTGACTAAGTCCTTTTAGTGCAAATCGTGCCTCAGAATGCTCTTAATTACAGGACCTGTCTTGGGGACTGCAAAAACTGTTGGAGGTTTATTTGAAAGGTTTAAAGCACTCATACACTGGGCATGTTTCACGAAAGCTTTTTTGATTTCTCTTCTCATTTGATCATGCCGTTTGCGCATTCACAAAAGGTTCTTAAAATATTTACATGTCATTTTTTCCTTGTGGCCGAGTTCATCAGGGTAAATAAACGATACTACTAGGTCAACAGTTTGTAAAAAGTTGATATGCTTTGGTTTTTCTATTCTATACACAAGGTTCTGTGCTAGTTATCATGTTAATCTTGGCAGTATAGCCGAGAAAAGTGCTTTTATTTATTTTTATTCTTTACATGATGCGATCATACACCGACAAATTAACAAATTGCTTGTTTACGTAACTTTTGCAATGCAATAGCAGCTTACCACGACGAAAATTCGTTACGGTAGCGGAACAGTTCTTTGATAACCAAATATGCATATTTATTTCTGTGTGTGAATTAGCCGTGCTCATACAGAATATACTATCTTAGAGAAACGGTTCATTTAATATTAGACGGCAAGGTGCCATTTTGCAGTAGGTATCGCAAAGTAGCATTTCATTAACGTGTATTTCAATCTTCTTATGTATAGAAAAACACGATATGAATCACTCAAATGTTCAATTCCGTTATTTAAGCCATTTATTTATATTTCATACACCAGAACAACTAAACAGACACATTTTTTGATCTGCAGCGGATATTTGGTTGAGCCGTTTGTCATGCACAATTCTTAGCGAAAAACGGCGGCTACAGCATTCACCAAAAATGCAAAATATGAAAGTGTCGCTAAAAGCAGAGTAAAATGGTAGCATAAGGAGATATAATGTTATAAACGATGTAAAATAATAATTTTATAATCTAAAAGGCTGCATAGCAACGTATCCCAGTTCATTCTTCCAATCTAATATTTGTTTGGCATCAAAAACGGTATTGTCGCTCATACAGCATCTGTTCTCATATTATCTGTGCCCATTTATTTCTCAAACTCTGTCATAAAGTGCGATTGAACAGAATCTGTTGTTAAATACACACTTTTTATCCCTGATCATTTGAATGTTTTCATCATTAAAGATATACCACCTATTGGCTCTCAGTCCCATTGCAAATGCATGTCTTCTTCTCAGCTTCTTACTTTTCACAGAAATTATGAGACCAACTAACCTGTACTTCTTTCCAAAAACTATGATTTCTGGATTGCAAACTACTCTATCATGGGATGCATCAGTGTAGCTATGCACATTCCAAAGACATACAACTAATAATTCGGGGAATATAAACGATTTTTTGTCGATGACCTTTTCCAACCCATTTTTCAGCATCTCGTTGACATTACCTTTGAGAAGTGGATAAAATCTAAGGAATCTGTGATAAAGCGACAAATCGCTCTGAATTTCCTTCGTTTTTTCGTAGTTTTCCTGGGCCAAGAAGAAATCGCTTGCTATTGTCTTCTCCATGCATTTACCGATGTATTCCAGAGCAAATATGGGCGATCCTCCCTTGTGTGACAGGTTAAACTCCTGGTCAGCCTTATTAAACATTTTTTGGTACACTGGCAGCAAGTTTACAGTGCCACCCTTGCACATCAGAGCTCTTATCTCGATCAAACTTTGTATCATTTCATTTTCTGATGTGGAATACTTGGTGAGTAATTCATTGAATCTGTCTGATGAAAAAAGTGCTTGCATGACAGAGTTTAGATAGCATATGCCCATACCGTTCCGTATTCCACACAGCAACGGTTTAGGTCGGTATTGGTGCGGTAGAATGAGTACAAAACTGGATAAGAGTACTACAGTTAGAAGAATGATGATGAGGATGTATGACTTCTTATACATGGTTAATGATATTCAAAGATGTCACTTTGGGTTAGAGGGGTCATTTTTAAAGCTTTACTTCTGCTATCTGATGATCAATTTTTTTGACCAGTCATATCGTTGGTAAAATAATTACATCTGCAATGAGGTGTGCTTAGGCAACATTTACGCAATGTATTGATAAAGGGGTTAGAAAGTATAAACTACATCATCAATGGTGCTGACCTAATCCATTTTTATGTCTGACGTGTTGCTAAAAAACGAATCAAGATGTTTGGCAGTGTGCAAGATGGGAATTAAAGATCAGTGAGCAGTAGAGGTAAGGGCATGTCTTTCTACACATTTATTTAACGATGTATAACTACGATACATGATTTATAAAAAGGTTCATCGTAATGGCACGCAATGTTATTAATGTTGTGGTATAACGCGGTCTTATGCCATTTAAATTGCCAATACTAGCTCTGTGGAGCAAATGATTGACCTGATCCAGAATCAGGAACAAGTTATACCAAAGAGCCTGCAAAGTAAAATGATAAATAATCTGATTGTCCATCATATGACCTATCATCAGTTGAATACTTGATTGGAGAGTGTATGTTTATCACGGCTATCAGGAAATACACAAAGATGATTTGTTACTTTGTGATAAATCAATGATGGTAATCAATGATTTGATCGGTGATGTTATCTGGTCTTAGAAGTTCATGTAAAGACCTCATGCAGATGAACCATGTTAGACCAGCTTTGAAGATCAACACGATTAAACACGTTGCACGGTGAATATGTGTTACCAAATAAAATATTGGGGAGGCAAATCTAAACTATCCAAAGAATAGCGCAAGACAAAGACAGCGCAGTTGTTAGGGCAGCAGCTGTACCGGTAGGCAAAATTAACATCAATTTGAAAAAGATTTACATCGTTCTGCAGATCATTTTAGCTGCTAAAGCAACATATCAAGATCTTAATGCAGAGTACAAGATTATTTAAACCAAATGATGAATGAACGAACGTACTTTTACCAAAAAATTGTATGTTGCTTCATTTCAAATGCATCGTATGGTAATACGATGCATCATCACTAAAATTCTTTTCTTGCCATCCGCCCAGCTAACTGGACAAAATGACTAAAACACAGGAGCTTAAAAACTTTTAGTGATCGTCAAGGAACTTAAGTATCCACTTCTTGCACCGGAAACACTTCTTGTCGTGAAAAATATATGACGTAACAAGACAAGAAATGTCCATTCGATGCGTGCATTCATGATACAGAATCGTACTGTTTCTTTTGCATTTTGAGCATTTCTTAGGAAGTTCCAGTTCCCAGGACTCAACAACGGGATTGGCGAGCATCGCCAGGTAAATGAGCTCGCGTAAATTATGATTTAACGAGTTTACAATCGGCCTATATTGTATTTTCAGGGCATCAAGTCTTGCAAGGCATTCAGGGTCTTGTCTGCCATCGCCTTTGTTTGCTAAATCCTCCAACTCTACCAATAATTTTTTCAGTTTATTGTTCAATATGGTGAACAACTTCATGTATAGGTCAAAATTGCTGCAACCAAGCACGTTGCGATTAGATTTTGGGTCGTTGTTATTTAAATGTTCTCCCCATTTCAGAACTTTAAGATACATTTCGGCAAAGTTTCTTGTGTACTGTTCATCACCAATTTTGACCTTAAAATATGTCTCTGGCCTTTCCATCATTAGAACCGTGTCTAGGATCAATTTCTCAAAATTGCTGTAAACTTGGGAAAGATTAAGCTCATTCTTAGCCTGAAATATTGTTTTCTTCGATTTGTACGACTTTGTACAAGCGACATGATTGTGTGCGATGAGAACAACAGTAACGCTCACAGCAATGAATACAGATCCTTGAAATAGCAATCTTGTTAATATCATAAAATTGTACGGTATCATTCTTGTTTCTTCTATGTATACTTTCGTGCAAAATTTTTTTCACTTACAAAATGGATATTTCCGCGAATTGTACCATTCCATCTAAAAATTTTTATACCAGATCCGAATAATTTACCTTTTATGGCATGAACATGCTGTTCAACACGATTATTTTCATAAATTGTTTAACTTATCATTGCCAATGTCACATCGTTCTTGCGGATTCTTTTCCAGTTCTTCACATTTGTTGCCTTAACCACCGATCATCCCGCTTTTTTATCGTAAAAAGATGCACTGATAGCAGCACAATGGTTTATCTCAATTTTATCCCGCAGTTTATTTCATGGCATTCTTAGCTCTCACTGATGTAAAAAAGTTCTTCTTCTATCATCACAATTTTTGGTACGCACTACCGAGCAAACCTCTGCCAAAGGGGATGTCTTGTTTGAGTTTATGCATTATGCGCTGCTTAACCTCAATAACTCTGTACGCTGCATTGCTTACGTTTTAGGAATGTTGCCAGGCTACACATCATGCTATGAAACAGGTTAATTCCATTATCAACGCTTTGGTTGGCAAAGCATAGTCTGTTTCTCACATGGTACAAACGATCATCTTCTGGAAATGAACGCACTTTCCTTTTAAATCAGCAATTTCTATTTTTTGCAAAACCATGCCAACACGAAAAGCAATTATATTTCACATAGTTGAAATGTATTATCTCATTACCACAGCTTATCATGATTAAATGAGATTAGCTCACGTATATCACAAACCTGGAAAGGAACTATTAATGTTACGTGTTCTCTTAACCGAGTTTTTAGCGCGGTTCCGTATTCGTTAGACCTGAAGACGACAAGAGATACAAGTGAGCCTTAGACTGCACTATGCCCACATCTAATGCTCGATACAAGATCAAGCTCATACTGCACTATGCCCACATCTGATGCTCGATACAAGTGAGCCCTGGACAGTTCCTAAGAATATTGGCGCAAGTGCCAGCCATTAAAAATGGTTTTATCGAATTTACTGACAGGTACGTTTTATGTTGGCCAGCCCTGGCAAAGCCATCACAATGCAGCCATACGCAGTCTCAGCACTGAATTGGTACAAAAGGACGTATCAATCAGAATACAACCGTAGAACAAACGTTTGCGGTGTTAAGCATAGGAATTCGTACAAAAAACGGAGTTTATTATAGTGCACGGTTTATTAACATGTTTGTTACGATGGAAATACGCCATTTTTGAATCAGGTTTTGCTATTTCTTGGCATAAAATGCCATAATTGTTAATAAATTGCACATACGGTCATGGAAGTGTCCCCCTTACCGCTTGCCATCGATCTGCGGTATGCATGCTCATTTGATGGCATGATCGGTTATATCAACTGTTTGGCGTGCCGTATCCGTGGTTGCAATATTTTGAGTTCATTTCCACAAAGGCTCTCCAGCTCGCCAACTATTCCTCGTATTTGCCACATCGCACCAACGTTCTGTATTTTGTTTTTGTAACTCTCGTGCTGATCGAACGCTTTGTGCAGTATTTTGTGCGTATGCGATTTAATTTCATACATTGGCGTGGTTTCATCGCACAAATCGAAATACTCGTTCAAAATCTCGAACGACGACTTGTTCTCGCCCGAGAAGATCAGCGGATTGTACAAGTGAGTCTCTGCAACCATCACTCCGTCGCACTTGGTGAAACTGAGACAGTCAGTGATGTCCTTTCTGCAGAGAATGTTGCCATTGGATATTACCGGTATGCCGAGGTGTTCTTTTACCAATTTTATCGCGTCCCAATTGGCCAATCCTGTGTTCGGTCCTCTCTGTTCACGTGTTCGGCCGTGCACAGCAAGCATTTTGCACCCACTCATCTCTATCATACGGGCGTATTCAATTGTCCGCCTATCATCATCGAAAATGCGAATTTTGCATGTCACCGGCCGTTCCAACGACGACAATCTCTTTATAATTTCTGAGGTCAGCTGCCAGTCGTTCTGCAGATACGCGCCATAATTCCCCCGCTTGGCGATGAGCTGCGGGCACCCAAAGTTAACATCAACCGCCAGTGCACTCGTAAAGTGCTCAGCCGCTTTGCGCATAACACACGGATCGTTACCGCATATTTGCACAATCAACGGCGAATCGATGAAATCATCAAGCCATCGCTTCTTGTTTTTTGCCTGCAAAAACTTCTGTGTGTGCACCATTTCGGTGTAACAGAGATTCGCGCCGTATTTTCGTGATAGTGTGCGGTATGCCAGGCCACAGTTCTTGTACATCGGCGCGAGGACCATCAGCGGCCCATTTCTGAAGAACTCGTGCATGGAAGGGCTGGGAAATAGAACAGGCGTTTTTGAAGCGTAGTGACCGTGCCCGATCAGTCAAAGGTGCAAGCCAAGAAATTTATCTCAACGCACTTTCAGATCCGGTAACATCAGCTATGAAGCAAAAAACCAATCAAAACGTACGCATCGCAGGACAAAAAAATACAATTTTTTACATTTCTGTGTCTCACAAAATGAGCTGCCAGAAAATAACCGTGATTCGTGTCGGTGACTCTCATCCGGTTTGTACGGTCACAGATACGCTCTTCCACGGTGACATCACTGTCTGACAGGTATGCACGTCAGGATATTCCCGAAACACGAACAATCGTACCATGTAAGATCAGTTGATAGATTTTAAATTTATTTTTGCTCCATCACACAGGTCTTACCACGACCCTACACAAAACTTATCGGACTTGCATCATTTTCTGACACAATAACCTGCACACCTGGTATTTTGTCCTCCATCATCCCTTTCAAGTGCTCCAAGAACCACCTCTCACTTCTGCAATGCTCCAGCATCATGATGGTATTAAATTTTTTGTGCTTCAGAATATTGTGGTGCGTCATTTCACCGGTAATTATTACCGAGTTTTCACCGCCACCAAAATGTGCGCTCCCAACACCCACGTACACATAGGGCGGGATGCTATCCATACGGTGTATATCAGACAGTGCCAATCTTATCTCCTTGGCATTGCATGTCTTTTTCAGCCTATCAATGATAACACTCATCCGGTTTCCGTTATTACCCACAGCCACAGAGTCTGCCACTTCAATACCGAAACATCCAAGTTTTGACAGCAAGGTCGTATTCATGAGGTTATCCAGCGCCGTGTGTGGTGAAAAAACGCTGATGTGATTCTCAATAATAGCAGCTGTGAACAAACCAACGTCTCTTTGCGCGTTAAACAGCACAGGATGGTACGATATTACCTTTTTTATGTTCTTCTCAATGCATTCTCTCAGGACTTGCGGAGTAAAATCGATCGTTAAAAGATATTTTCTGTCGTTATTCTCGATGTTGCTGGGAATCAGGATGCCTACGTTATCCCATGATGCAGCGCCTGATAAAGGCGCGTAGAGTTGGAAAAATGGCAAAATGTGATTCATCGCGATTTGTGAACGGGAGGGCCCTGCAAATTCACAAATATAAAAATTGGGTTCGACACAAATCACCGTTCATGCTTACCTGTGAACACCACCGCAAGGTTTGCATACAGCACAGAGAGGCAGATAGCGAATCATGAACAGGGGTGCTATACAAATAATCGCCACATGATTATCAGACAATGCATGCCAAGTATTTTACGAATGAACCAAATCTGTTTCAACAGTGTGCACACGAATTGAAGGCAAAACGTGCTTTACAAACAAAGAATTTAAAAAATATCGATGAGGTGAAAAAACGGGTGTAAACTGGCAGTACAGCATTGGTCACTGTATATGAAACTATTAGCGAGGTGTTTCACAGTTTAAGCCTACTTCAAGTGCAGGTAACGAATTGTTGCTTTTTTGAGATTTTCGATTGGGCCAAGGGCTTGTTGCGGTCCATTAGGACACTTTAAAAACTATCACCGTATTAATGCAGAAATGAACGGTAAGACAGACGGTTTCAGTGTAAATTACATATAGAGCGTGCAATGTAGGTTTGCAGGACTGTTGCTCGGTTTCAATCGGAGAGTCATTCAATTAAAACGTGCAATAGCGCTGCATATTTCTAGTATTTTGGCCGGTGCTCATCGTGCTCTATAAACGTGGTGGTTGAAAAGCTGACTGGCATTCTATTGGCACGTGTACGAACATTTTCTACGTAAAAACTGAGCACGGAAGAATGCCAACAGCACGGTACGTAACGAAGAGTATTTGAACACAACACGAATGGTTGTGTGTAAATAGACTGGAAATAACAATGGAAAGTGATGAACAAGCAAATTTTATACAGAACGAGACGGTGATGCAGAATATGGAAAAAACATTGCGGACCGCGGAACTAGAGCTGAATGTATCGGTATCTCCAGACTTGACCGCAATCACAGGTTACCTCCTAAATATCACCGTTATACGATGTATAAATACCATTTAACAGGTATTTTGCGGTGCTTAGACGGCCATCCACAGTTGCGTACCGAAACCGAAACATTTTTGTATCACCACCAATCACGAATAAAAATTTTATAAAAATGAGATCAAAAATTTATAAAATAAAGGAGATTAAGATAAATGTGCGTTGGACTGTTACGAAAGATGTTTATGAACTGCAGAGCAGCCTGCCGCAGAGTGGCGAATTTTATCGCGCCATCTAACAAAAATAGGGATGATATTAGATCGAGCGAGGAAGAGCGGATTATCCAGAGAAGCAGAGATCGGATAGTTGGAAAGAAAAATAGAAGAAAGTCGACCAATAAAAGCGCGAAAGAGGATGCGGGTAGCGTAGTGATAGATAGCGATGTCTCATCTATGTCGGGCATATCAGAATCAGGAAGTGCTGTGAAGGACAGAAGAACCGTGGATGAAAAGGAAGCAAGATATCCCAGAAAAGGGATTGCATCCACAAAGGAGTGGAGCAGGGCTGTGAATGAACAAATGAGTGATGATCACAACTCTTTGGTCTCGCTTAGTCTTTCGAAGTGCGAAGAGAAGGACGTTAAACGTGAAAATACCGACAAAAAAAGGCTAAGAAACCAAAACAGCTCCAGAGATGACAGGTTAGCCCGTGATACAAACAAAGTGTCACAAGTTTCTGTTTTACGGAACAAGATACCATTCAAGAGAAACGAGAATTACCGCAGCTCCTCAATGACAGAGTCATCAAGCAATATCTCCCTGCTACCGTCAGACAATGAATATGGAGAAACAAAGCCCACGATTAACTTTAAGAACAAGAGCGATTACTCTGATCTGATAGAAAATTATGAAGACAGTGGTGAGCAAAGACAGGTTATAGATAAGATGAAGAAATTTTTGAAAAAGTGTGAAGGCAAGAAAAAAGGCAAAAAGTAGAGCGTGTAATGCATCGATACGGACATAATGAGAGAGATATCGTATTTTGACATACCACAATAGAAAGATGTAGCGTATAAGTACAATAACGGACTACATCAGGCAAAGTTTATGAACGTACTCTAACCAATCCTGGCTGGTTATCCAAGGGAACAGAATGAACAGGTGTTCCACCTCTTTCCTTATAAATAAACATAAATATATGCTATGCCAGTACGGAACAGGCATCGATCCAACAGTGCTGTTCATGAAACGATCTTCCCTCACAATGCCATACTGCAACCATGCTAGTGCAATGTGGTGTTCTATTGCACAAAACTATGTTTTTCTAAAGATAGGTATTTTAGACCTTTTCGAAACATAAAAACCCTGAAATAGCTCTTAGCAGTCTAAAATATTCAAAGTGGCACGTATCCATTCCAAACACCCTGGTGCTCAGAATCGTACCTTAAACGCTTTCACAGGCCCTTAGCCAAGGAAAGAAGAACTTGGAGCATGGTGAAATGAGAAGGTAATCACCGCACTCGGTTGCTCAGCTTCTTCCAATGCGCATTTGAATGCGAGTACACCACGAATACGTAGCAGCAATCAAAAGATACTCGCCAATAAAACATAAAATACTGCATTGGTTGCACAGTTACGTTCAGCCATAAAAACCGTTTGATACCAACATTCCTAAAAATGAACAACCTTAGTGCAACTTCCTGCCGATAAGAGAACCACAGTTACGTTCAGCCATAAAAACCGTTTGATACCAACATTCCTAAAAATGAACAACCTTAGTGCAACTTCCTGCCGATAAGAGAACGTAACAAACATTTTAGTCATTTTCTACTAAAAATACGTTTATTTATCTCCTCATACATCAACAACACTTTTAGTTATTTACAACCAAATTTCTTTCTCAAGTCGGCATATCCGCCAACAAACTCGCCATTCACAAATATGATAGGAAATGTTCTGTGACCGTATTCTTTCTCCGTCTCATCAACAAGAACAGGATTCATCTGCATGCATGCACATTTTACATCAATACTTTTCTCTTTCAGCAGTTTATGTGCTTCTATGCAGTCCTCACAGTCCTTCATTCCACATATTACCGAAAGCTTGTGCTCCTTCACGTAGTTCTTGTTTAAGTTGACGTATACACAGTGCGGCTCATCCATCATAAGAGTGTACTTTACAGCGATTATATACTTTCTGTGCTCTATTTTCTATTCGTTTTCGGTCCAAACCTATTGTTGTGTGCCATGATAAAAAGTAAATCTGACTTGTAAAATTTAAGGTAGTCCTTTAGACCTATTGCAGCGTGATACGCTTGACAACTGCCCGTAGAGCGGCTGAGCAATGAGCTATGTCGATATGAATGGAGCAATCACGCCGATAAGAAACGAGCAAACGATTCGTTGCTCGTTTCAGAAATAAATTGAAGAACCAGTGAAAATAGTAATAATGTGCAGAATAGACATCAAAGAGCAACGCGCATCCCAAATTTTTGGTGCGTTGCTTATCTTGCACTAGGACATGCACCTGCACGAATAGACACATCAACAATTAGCGGCACACAAAATATTTGGAGATAGAGCATATTTCTATACACAGAAATAACGCGCACTCCAGCTCTCCTCTGACAATTAATTTTACGGTTCTCAATTCCTTCAATTTGGTGCTGCATCTTCATGCACTGGATAATTGGTTTTTGCCAGGACACGGCAAACATCATCCAAACACCTTTTGAACCACGATCTGTGCCAGGCACGACGAAGCATTGGTCGTACAAAACGGAAGAACAGTCGAACTAGGACTTATCGATGCAAAAAATATTTTTATTCTTTCGTTTCGGGCTACGGTAACATGCTTGCATCCCCTTTACGCACCACATGCTTCTTTTACTGCAAGTTAACGGATAGTGCCCGTACTACCGTTCAGTTTAGCTGCGTACATTCGAGCCCAACACTTTATCACGCTGTTTCATCGCTTATATCGTGGTGTAAGTATCGATTCAACCGTGCCAATCTCATCTTTCTACGAGTTGCTTAGTTATGACACTTTTCTACCGGCCCATCACCTGGCATGCCCAAAAAGATTGCTCTGCGTGTTGTTCAACGCCAGTATTCGCCCATAATACACCACACGATCAGTTCAACCGCTCTTTCACCAACATTAACCTTTCTCTTCTTCATCACGTACTTGCACCGTTTTTCGTACCATTCCATCCGATCTGGTCGCAATCATACGGTCTACCTCTCACCCATCTGCTTGTACGACCCGGCTATACCATCCAACCCGTCATGAATCCTATCATCAAACTGTTCAACATAGAAATTAACGCACTGGTCCTCATTTCTCTTTATCAGCTCGCCTGTGCTGTAATAGTCACATGCAATCATATCAGTGCACTCGTTGCCATCCGCACCGGCATCGTTGAACGTATTGACATCGTACGCACCGTCCCACCTCTCCCCGTCAAACGCCAAATTGAGTTCAAACGGCACAACGATCGGCATGCCGATATTGATGTCAAAGCGTGTGTGGTACCGGCAGTCCACGATTACAACGCATTCTATTCCATCCATGCACGTTAACCGCTCGTACGAAATGTCACGTAAGTAGTACATGTACACTTTTTTACCTCTGCTGACCAGGTACTCCTTTATTTTGTATGCGAATTGTTCAAGTTTGAAGTTTGTGAAGTAAATGCCGAAGATGTTCAAGTGCTTGACCTTTTCTACGCGGCTGAGCCGCGATACCAAAAATTTTACTCTGTCGAACTCGGTTGTAAAACTGTGCGCCCTTTCTGTGTTGTGAGGTGTTACGGTGGTGCTTTTAGTTCGGGTCTGTCCTGTTCCCGGAGTGCAACCGCACGGTTCATGGTCATTGCCTGTATGTTTGACCAATCCCTCCTCACCGATAGGTTGGCAATCGCTGCTGTGCTTTGCTGTTACATCTGTGCGGTTTGCACCGCTACCAAATTTGCTCTTCTCGTCCATTGCTCCGTCTTTTCGTTCAACAGCATCCTTCAGCGCACTGGCAACCGGTCCATTTACGATGTTCTCCATGTTTTGTTCCCTATCACCTGCAGTTACACCACACAGCGCAGCATTATCTGCACTAAGCCGCTGAGCGCACTCCTCATCGTTCATCATCACACCGCCCGTTTTCCTCACCTCCACCGTGCCGTATCGCATCTGGTAGTACTTCACAACATTTTCATTCGTACTATCAACGATAGCCCGTCCCTTTTCCACATCCACAACAACCACTCGTTCACATTTGTCATCCAACACTGCATAGCACTCAAAATCGTGCAACTCGCACATCTCACACAGCACAACGTACATGCCGCTCTTCACGTACTTCAATCCGCATGCAAACCTCGTTGAGCACAGTATGATCGGCTTGTACGCACGCAAGCCGTTATAAACTACCCGTGCAACGCTCTCGTTGCCGTACTCTGGTATGATGTAAATCTGTTGGTTTGTTAGCGGTTTTATATCACAAATGGTGCTCAGACTGAACGTGTTGTTGAATTTTATGGACGTGATTGTCTGTGCAGGCGTGGAATGTGTGGTTACTGTTACTCCGTTGTGGGTGCCTGTGGGCATTCAATGGGCACTTGGTTTTGAGAATTTTTGATGGGCGAGCAGAGCACAGAAGCAGCCCTGAACATGCAGCTAAACAAGAGAAAGCATGCAATACGAGTTATTTAACAGTATGTGGTGCTGAGATAGCACCACAGTGTATTAACAGTGCTTATAACACCGGTAAATAAATGAGCAGAACAAAAAGTGTAAATTCTACAGATTTACACATAACACTGCAATGCAACTGGAGCAGTAGATAATTTCATCATTCACCCACTCCTTACAGCAATTTATACCGCTTCTTACGGTAAACGTTTAAATAGCTGCTTTGGGAACGAAGTTATGAAATAATACGCCTGTTCAGCATTCTCACCACGTGCTCCCGCACATTTATCGCTCTGTTTGCTATTGCTAGAAATACCATTTTTTATGGCGGCGCCTTCACAGCCAAAAATTTTGGCAATACACTCCTCCGATTTACCGTCCATTACCACGCAGATAAATTCCTACGTGTTCATGAGCACGATTAATTCAGCACGGCACCCTCACACATAATTTTTGTTCCCGTCTAGCACATGTTTACACCTCCTCACGCTCTTTTCCGCCTCACTTACATCCACCGTTTCCTTTTTCAGCGCACGTTTTCACTTCAAAATCCGCCATTTCTCTGCCATTTTTGGTCCTCCATTTTTTTATCCCTGCTAAATGCAGTACAAAGACATACTCGACGAACTGGTCGTCCGATTCCTCATGAATCTTCCAAAACAAGATTACGAATCGGTGGAACGTCTATTCTTCATCCTTGAGGAGGTGCACTGGTACTACATAGACTTCATGGCAGACGATAACAAGACATTCCGCTCGTTCGTGGCGGACATTCTTTCACACATCAATTATCCACCGGTAGACATCGACCAGAGCCTGAAAGCATTTGGCGAGTACAAATATGATGTGCCTGTGTATGGCGCACTGATATTCAACGCACAGATGGATCACATATTGCTCAACAAGGGATGCAGCAAGCGCTCACAGTTTCTGTTCCCGAGGGGAAAAAAGTTCATGAACGAGGCGGGTGCACAGTGTGCGATACGGGAAGTGTATGAGGAGATAGGATATGACATTAGCAACAAGATTTGCCGAATTGTGATAAGGCCGAGCGGAGAAAGGTACACGCTTTACCTGGTTTTTAATGTGCCGGTTAAGACACGTTTCGAGTGCCAGACGAGAAACGAAATTGCGGAGATACGGTGGGTCAGCGTGCGTGATATCTTGGGGAAGACCGGAAATGATCTTAAGCAGGTGAGGAACGTGTATTTCAAGATAAAGGATAGAATCGATAAGATAAGGACGGGCAGGTTTATGTTTGACAGGAGAGCTGTGCTTAGGGAGTTTGATCGTGTTATCACGTCGATATGACGCGTGTACCACCTAAGTCTAGGGGCAGTCGCCGTTTCATCTGTGGTGGAGCGAGGTAAATTTGTACTACGTTCAGAGCGCATCGCTCACTTCCCGTTTCCTGGTCAAGTCTTGGGACACGTGAACGTCCTGCAGAAGACGGCATGCTAATTAAATGTGGCTGTTATCGAAGTGCACTGGGCCACGGCAAAGGATGAATTGCAAAATGCTGTGATAGAGGCGTGAGAAGGCAAAAGAACGTTTTTAATGAAAAAATGCAGCATAGAAGGAATCGCAAAATTGTGTGATAAACCTGTTGGGCCACCGTTTAATAAATCGTTTTCTGCTGAAAAACTGAACAGTAAAGTTGTTGTTAGCGAACGGCAATCGATCACGAATCGTGATAACAAGGCAATGAACTATAAACAGTACTCTTTCTCAAACAGTGAAAAGTATCGCTAGTGCGAGAAAGCACGATCGAACAATGAGCATGAACACCTGCTCAATGCCCATAGCATCAAAATCTTAGAACAAGCCATTTCTGCATACACTACTGTTTTTAGTGTTCTCGTGTACAAGAAGTGGTTTAAAGGATTGTTTAACCCGATGAGAAAACCATCCACAAAATAAAATGCGAATTATCCGCTCAAGCACGGATGAACAAAATCGTGCAGAATTGGCCGGTTGTTTATGTTAGGTGCACAAACATGGCAAGACTGCACCAGCACTTCTTAATGTCGTGAGATAGCGGTTCAAGCCAGTTGTGCTACTACGTCCAGAATAAAAATTTTACTTTGTACGGCCATGTTCTGTCTCTACGCCATCTGCCAACGTATCCCAATCGCTTCATAAATCCTCACCATACTCACTTTCTATCTCCTCATCCAACTCATACTCTGATTTTGTAGCGGCATCCAGCGCCTTCAAAACATCCAAGGATGTTTGATAAGAATCAATTTTGTGCACCGCTGTGCCATCGTTTTCGTCCGTAGACTCATCTTCTTCACTTGATGATTCGTGCGCATCGCTATCATTTGCACATCTCTTATCGCATGGATCGCTGCTGCTGCATGCATTGCTGCTGTGCTCATCATATACACCATCTCCTTCACACTCATCCATTTTCTTCTCAGCTTCCTTTACCACGTGGTCTATCAGATCCTTCATCTGGTACATTATTTGCTCTGCAGTAAAACCCTTCACATACACCTTCTCGTTGCCATACTGGTACCTTTTCCATAACTGCTCGTAAATCTTACACACCAAGTCTAGCGATCCGTCTTCTTCTGCTGAGGTTGCTGCCGATCCTATGTTTGATACATCGCCGTTCGCATCGCCTTTTACGCTTTTTATCCCTTTCCGTGTTGTTTTAGTTGTGAGTTGACCGTTTTTATTCGTTTTTTGTCGCTTCACCTCTTCGTTTTCCCTACCGCTGCTCACCTTTTCTTTTCCTTTTATCCTCCTCAACTCTTCGTTTTCCACCACATGCTCACTCCTCCTCATGTTTATATCACTGACCACACTCTCTTCACACTTTTTCTTCTCAATAACACGCCCATTTTCCATCATTTTTTGCTTTTTCTTCTGTCCCACGCCCCTTTGTCCGATCTCTTCTCTCATGCAGGGAACCGCAATAAAATTCTTTTAGTGCCATTACAAAAAAAGTAAAAACGATGAGCAGTGCACCCTTCATTTCCACCAGTATGTTTTTGAAGAACATAAAACTACATTTGCATGCAAAGACAGTTTTTTCTATTATATTACACGTTCCACGGCATAATGACCATAAGAACGTACAAGCAGCGATTTCGTATGCCTTGTGAACGAATTAAATGTAAACGATAAGAAATACCAAGACATGTTCATTTGAAAAGGTGTACTTTCCGTATCCATAGCACACAAGACATAAAAAGCAATCGTACATGATATACCATTTTTATTTTTACATCACCATCTTTCACGAACACTCCACATCTTTTCACGCACCGTTCCATGCTCTTGTCCAAGACGATACTCTCAGCACTGATCATAGACATCGCACTAATTGCTCATTTATGATCATCCGCCGATTTACTTTATCTTCCATCCGTTTCATTTTTTAGCTGTACCGTGCCCTTATGCTCCCCATTTTGTATACGTCCTGCCAAGATAATAAAACCTGCGCACTCTTCCTGACATTCTCATCCACAGTTCTTGTCCTGATCAACCACCAAATACGTTCAAATGACATTCTCATCCACAGTTCTTGTCCTGATCAACCACCAAATACGTTCAAATGACATTCTCATCCACCATAAACTTGAAATACTCTACCATTTCAACATTCATCATCGCATACTTCTTTACATCACCCTCCTTCTCCCTCAGCACACCCCTCATTCTAGCGTTCTTGCTCCTCTCAAATTCTAGCTGATCCCTCAAACTCTCGTTCTCCATCATTTTACTGTGCACTTTTTCATCGGCCATCACTTTAAACGCATTTGCACGGTCATCTGCACGTGTCAAGTCCTTCTCCAACGTACCAATCTGCAATTTGTACTTGTGCTCATTTGCAGTCAGCTTGTTGATCTGATCCATAAGCATCGACAACTTTGTATCCTTCTCTTGGAGCGCAGACAAAAGATGATTTGTATTTGCGTGTGCATTTCTCGATGTTTCTCTTTTCAGTTCATCCTCTAGAAACGATATCCGCCGTTCTATCATCTCATACTCACGGTAACTGAGCGTTATTTCATCGTTCTGAACCGCACTGCTGTCAACATACGCTCTCCGATCCTGTATTGCGCCATCCGCATGGTGCGATACGACTGGATAGTTGTGAGTGCCTGTGGACCTGTAAATCACAGTATTTCTGCTTTTTATCATTTCTCCTTCACCCATCATTGAATGTGAAATACTTTGGTTTCGCAGTAACCTGCTGCTACCTGCCGTATTAACACCCTGCCATCCCTTGTCACGCATTAACGTGCTACCGTTCCCCCTGCCTACATCGTAATTTGTGTTCTCTGCCCGACGTATATTCCATTCCATACTGTTACTCCTTTCTCTGCTGTCGACAATTCTACGAACTCCTTCCATTTGACGCCCATTCCGTTGTTCAGCAACCCCCAGCTCGGTCCTTCCGGTTATACTCATCTGAACATCGCCCAATGTTTCATTTCCATGGCTTTCTCCCATCTTCTGCTTCGCAATGCTCCCTCCTTCGTCTGCATCTTTGTCTCCAGCACTGTTACCTATTTTTTTGTCCACCACACTTTCCCCGACATCGCTTATCCATCCAATTGCAGACTTATCCTTTTCCAGACACCCGCCGATCCTCTCTGCCCTGTCTCCCGCACCATCCCGTCCTGTCCCATCATCTATAATATCTCTGCTAAAACTGATACTATCATCGAACAGCACAGTATCCTTCTCCTCGCTCTCTCCCAAGTCATGCCAATCCGCATCCTCATTACACGTCTTGTCCTCAACCACGCTGCTGTTAATAAAAGACGATAACCGTGTCACAGAGTCTGCAATGAAGTTTCTCAGGCTCTTTACCATTCCTGCAAGGGCAAACATTTTTACGGTTTTTGTTGTTTTTTTATGGTGCTTTTTAGTGATTGGTTATTTTCTTGTTTTGATGTGTAAATTTACGGGTGGCTGCTGTTTCAGTTTTTGGATCGTTAACGGTTTGTGTTGACGTGTTAATAAGCCTGCAATTATTATCGAGAAATACATTTCGTATTTTGAACCTTGCGTGAGGGGTCGTTTAGTTTAATTCTTTTACCCCTACGGAATTACCGAATGATATCGCGGATTGCACACTGCGAGGGTTCTTAGCGTAATCACGATGGTCATTTTTATTCAAACATCGAGAACTTGGTGTGTTTGTGAATTGATGAGGTATTAACTAGCAATAACTTTGGATGTTTATTCAGGAGAGAGGTGTTATTAATGGTTCGTTTTGTGGGGCGTTTCTCTTGCAAAGAAGGAGCAGAATGACGAATCACTTTTTTTCATTGTTGTGCCGTTTACTTAAAAATTCATTGATTTGCTATGGATGCCTCACATCAGAGACTGATGCTCGACCTCTCAATCTCGTTCATCATTTCCTTCACCTTTAGGTAGCACTCCAGACCAGCACCATCCTTTCGCGTCCTTATCCCCCTCCACTTAGCCATTAAAGTGCACATCCGCCATATAACCACGTCATTAAGCACATCGAGCACGCTCCTATCGATCCTAACAAACCTTTTCCTCAGGTTGACGGCCAGCCATCTCGCCATGGCACTCCTCACATCACCCTCCTTGGCCTTCGCAACCACCCTCCCCGTCACATCCTTCCACTCCTCACCACCAGTACATATTACCATTTTCCTATTTTCTGCCACAACCATTTGTCCCTCAAACTCCTCTTCAATCAGCTTTTCTCCGTACTGTTTCAGCTCGCGCGCGTAATCACAGATCAGTCCTTCAATGTTATAAGTTATACAATTGGTGTAGATGAGATTAAGATCATATCTAAATGACTGTTCATCGTATATGTCTGCACGTTTGAGCATTGTTTGTAGGTCCATGGGATTTTTGATGATATCGTAATAGTTGTATGCCTCTCTCTTTTTAACTGGATAGAGAAAGGGAATTGAGTAGGGCTTGTACTTTTTGAGACGGGTCAGAATGCGTGTGAATATGTCATCCGTGTGGAATAGGCGCAGATTTTCTACCTGAGAGAAGTTTTTGTGTTTTTTTATGAAGGAAAAGTAAAATGGTGAAATCATAACGAGGGGTGTGTGAGTAAAGAAATTGTTACGGATCATAATTGTAGAATAAATGCTGTTAAGGTCGTGATATGCGCTCAGTGCACGAGTAAAGATTGTGTGATGATAATTAAACAGACTTTAAAAAAGCTACGGACCATAACGTTTGTTCGTTGATAGTTTACCATGCTTTTTGGACCTGTGACATGTCAGGCGCGTGGATGTATCCTTGGTAAATTTAGTACAAGACCTACGATGCAAATGCTTCTACTTTCACTGCAAAAGGCCAAAAAGACTTTGCAGCATATCGCCATGCTTACTTCTCCACCTTTGTTTCCATCATAGCAAGTCAAAAAATTCTTACATTGCATTACCGCGCTGGTTTCACTCCTCGTGGTAGCGAATTGATCTTAATGTCTCTGTTGCGTGGTTTCGATATGATCGATAAATCGTTGTAATAAAGTGCTTAGCTCTCAATGGTAACGTTAAACCGGGATGGCAAATCCCTATAAACACGTAGCATTGCGGCTAAAGTCGTGTATGCGCTGAATATTGCATTGCAAATAACCACCGCAGTCGTTGTTTCTTGTGACCAATTTTCATCAACAGAATGCTCAAACGGTGTTACGTATCAAATGTTCTGATAACCGTGGTATGCTCTGTACATATCATCTGTTATTTAGGCATCATCTTCTGAGGATGCTTTACAATGCATTTCTCTGCCATTTTTAGGCATTTATTGGCTGATTTGCTGAAAAAGTTTTTATTACCTAGATTAATAGCGGTGTACAGCTTTGTGAGAAGATGTGCAATAATATGATTGCGAGACTGTCATATTTGGTTTGCTGATAGCATCAAATCATTTGTTGTATTTTATTCGTGTTCTTTGCCTTTCACGGGGATGTACACGGTGAGGAACAGAAGTGCTATCCTGTAGAACACATACCAGATGTTGAACATGCACACCACATATTTCATTAATAAAATTAAAGTTCCGGTTGGTATTTTAATGAGCGTACTGCCAACAGGTGGACCAACTATCAGTCCAGATGATGTCATTGTTACGATAAAAACGCTTTAATACAATCTTGATAATTTTTTTGTCAGAATCTCTGGCCTATTTAGGCAATTGTAGGAGTAGAGTAGCATCAATTCGTCTGATGATCGATCCAAAAGCAAAGCAATCCTCAACTAGTTTACCAAACGGAACCACAAGACGTGATCATATCGAACAAATGTGCGGATTGGAACGTAGCGCAAAGACGAGCGTTTGAGTAGATTTATATAGAAAGGTTCGTTGAAGCAACATTTAATTAGCATGTTTTCTTAGAAAAATGCATCGCACTCAACATTAAATACACTTCCAAGATTTTTATAAGGTGGTCGTTGGTATGAAAGATCGTGAGATGCCATAAAAAAGAGTTTCTCTATTTCTTGTTGAGGAATACAAGAGAGTGTCAACATACCAGAAATAGCATCATAATCAAATGGTCTCGTAGATCGATATTCCACGCAGAGATTACGTGCTATGTTGAAATGTAGAAAGTTTGATCAGACTCTCGTTGAAAAGGTGAACATAGGACATTACACATAAGATGAAAGGCAATATTAAACACATATGCTCTCTCCTTGGCCCATATGAATGTTGTACATGTGGTAATGAATATGTTACTGCCTGCCATTTGAGAAGGCGAATAAAAAACTGTTAAATGATGGATAAAATGGACGATTTTAGTGGAAAGGTATGATCTTTCTGTATTGTATAGGGCCGAAACAGATATTTAAAGATCAAAAATTACGAACTCATTGTATATAATGTTAAATGGCAGCGTAGGCTAGAGGGCTGAGCTCAGAATCTATTGTTGTTTTTTATGAAATATCATCATTAATATTACGGATAGTACGAACTTTGTTAAGCATTTAATGCTATTTTGAATGTTTTGGTTTATTAAAACATATAACACGTTTTTATTTGGTCCAGGATGGAATGCCAAGTGAGACCTGAATGAGCGAGAAAAACCATTAAAGTACACGTTTCACCACCAAATACTATACATTCAATCGTAAGTCTACTATGTACAATTTATTACAGGTATTACCTACTATAGCTTGCTTATCCTTTGATATACCGAGGTCAGTGTATGCTTACTGTTACTAACAATCACTGTTCGTTATTCAATTGCTATCTTGAATTAATCACTATCCGCTATAATAATCAGGACGCATAGTTAGTTCGTGTAATTTACGTATACTCTCCTCATATGAGCACCATACATCGAGATTTGGTCTTTTGTAAGAATTAAAAGCAGCTGGCGCTCTCTCTGGAGGTTCGCGAACTGCCCAATGTTCCAAATATAGGATCGATATGAATGCAGAAATAAATATGCACTAGAGCAGAGAACAAAAATAATTATGGCAGAGATGATTCTCAACAAGAATATCTAACAGATAAGTGTGGCAATATTGTACTAAAAAAAGCTGTTATAAAAAAATATGCCATATTTGTTACTTCCATTTTCATCAATACGATAAAAATGTTAAAAATTTTTGTACATTCTAGCATATGGTCATTGTGAAAAACTACTTGATTTTTACGGTCCAAGGTATGTTTTTATAACGTAACGCTCATAGTTGACATCATTTAAAGGCTAATAAACAAGGGAATACCTCATTTTGGAATAATATTTCTCATACTGGATCTAAAAGGATTGATGTTTTGCCTAATTTGTTACAAGTGTGACATAAGTGGAATAGTACTTTAACGCCGTGGAGCGCTGATATAAATAAGGCCATATCGCTGACCATATGCATTTTTGTAATTTTTTGTCACTAGTCCTGGCAATAAGTGCTTCCCAAAAAATTTTTGAAAAGAAAACAGGAATAAAATCTGATGAAATACCGGATAATAGCTTTAAGGAGACGAGTGAAACATCAAGATACCATTGTATGGTCAAATACTTTTTGGATCTCTGCGATTTGGTGGACAACTATTCCGATGCAACAAATTCTATCTGGAAAAGTTTGGCGAACGAACTGAAACAACAATCATCAAACTATTCTTATGATAAAAGGACCAAAATTAAAAATCTATGTAAAGATTTAAAATCAAACATCAAGACGCTAACGAGTATGTCAGAGAAATTATTACGGATATCGCCAGCTCTAGAACCGATATTGACCATAGAAATGATCAAAAATATGACCGGTATATTGAACATACTTATTACCGCTTTGCACAATTTAAATTGTGAATTTGATATATTTGATACTCAGCACGAACTTCTTGAAGAATTAGAGGATGCACACACTACATTTTTTGTTAAACATAAAAAATTTCTTGGAAAAATAAAAGGGGAAACGACACCCAATACATGTTCCTTGGACTTGGAAGAAGACATTTTGTTAAATATTGGCAACTTATGTCATGTCGTATTGCTTGTTCAACAAGATATTTTAAACTGGGCCAGAATTTACACTCAGAACACTCCTTGTGACGAAAAAAACGAGAATCCGTTAAAAAGACAGTTGGATACGAGTAGTGATGCTGATGAAGATGACCATTCGGTAACCACTCCCAGCAAGAAGCTGAACTAAATTAAACAACAATTTATTCGGTTATCCCAGCATACGCTTCTATTTTTTAGCTACACTTGAGAGCATGCCAAATACAATGCCAGTTACTCATTCTGTGAACAACAAGCCCAAACATAATTTTTGTTGTAATTCACTTCTACTCCTATCGTGATACTGTCTAAGGATAGAGTACAAACATAGTTGGCGTGGTTGTAATGACAATCATCAATTATATGTCCGGGCTTGTCATCATATCAACAATTTGGATGTTTAATTTGTAAAGTATTCCTTTCTTAAGAATTGGTTTAATACCATTTCACAGCCACAACACGATAAAGGTTTTTACCGGTGATCACACTCAACTGCATTATTTGCAATTTTGTACGCTCAATTTTGAGTAAATTCATACGATATGGTAAAATTACTGTTTATCTTCTGTTTTAAGCGTACATGGTAATTGTAGTGGCGTGATTGCGTAAAGTATTACCTTCCAAAACACTCTGATACGCAGCCATTCTATATACTACTTGATCTTTGGTTATAGTAAAAATGGTGTATATTCGTGATACTTTTCAGTGAAAATCCTTTTTTGATCGCCTAAATACAATAATTCACGACAAAGTGTTCATTGCAAGCCTCCTCATATTGCATTCAGCTTACTCTACCCTGTGCTGACAGTTGTAATTTGCTTTGGCATTTAGTGTTTCACCTGCCCAGTGTGACAGGAACCACTCTCAATGTTTCAAACGAATCACAAACATAGAGGTGTGCCCATTTGGATGGTATTCCCTGTAGGAACGAACAAACTACTTTTAGAAGAAAGTTTTGTTCGAATCAATTATCTCTACGAAAGCAAATCAAGCGTTTGTGCCATGCAATCACGGTCACTTGGAATATTAATTCACGTACCACTCGCACGATTCTCTGCAGAAAACGAAAAGACCTGTTCTAATAATTTCTAGTTACCAGCGTCGTAGGACGAAGCGTAAAATCACCACAAAAAGAGCTAACAAATTGCTAATGAGCAGTCATCATAATACAATACCAACAAAATAGAATTTCTTCTACAATTTATTTCGCAAATCGCTATAACAATTTGATTTGATCGCCTGGTCTAATTGTATTCATTGCTCACAACATCAGTCATTTTTAATAATCATGTCAGGCAGGTAACTCCTACTATATTCACAAAATACCCTGAATTAGAACAACAAAACGAAGTCTCCCTTTCGTTCAACAGTCAAAAAGAGAGATACGACAAACATTGCGTATCTTAACGGTTACAACCGGAAAAACATCAACCAATCATTTTTTAATAACATAATACCGCACCAATCAATCTACACTCATCCTTGGCACTAAAACCAGGGATGCCACAAAGGACTAACCTTGCACAACTTTTCAGGATCGCAACAATCACTCAACACCCTATTTATAGTTCCAACCGTTTTCATTCGCTCTCTCACATCCTTAACATCACAATCTGTAAGCAAGACCACGATGTCATCCGAGTACTTCGACTCAAGCAACCACTTCGAAAAGAAATGTCCTACAGATAGGAAACGACCCTCTATATTAATCCTGTTGAAATATTCTTGGAAATTTGGCGTAAGCCTCATCAACATCGAGTCTTCTTGATTTGTTTTACAGAAACAGTTTGACTGGTATAGCGAGGCTCTTCTAAGACCCAATGAACACTGGTCAGGCTGTTTAGGATCCACAAAAAAGAAATAAAGGAAAAACGAGTCGATCGAGAAGTTGTTCAGAAATGCGCCTCTGAACAGAAAATATTCTCTGTCGCGCCTAAATACGCCTTGCAAATACCTTTTCAGTATTTTGTTTCCCATCTTTTTGTGCATGGTGAGGAAGGCATCTAATTTGACCTTATTAGGGGCTCGTATCACCGTTTCCTTGACTTTCATTTCAAAGCTTTGATCGCTCTCCTTGTAAGGAGGCATCAAATCAAACATATTTGCTGAGTTTGCACCTGATTCAATAAATTCGCCGGAACAGATGAAGTTCTCGTCTTTGTCGCGCATAGTTGCGTTGCACATTCCGTTTTCATTTGCTCCACCTCGCTCTCCCTCTTTTTCTTTCTCATACTTTCCCACAATTTCCAAGTACTCCAGGATTACCTCATCCTTGTCCTTATAGGTTTCCATTATCCTGTCAAACCCGATGTAACTGTCTTTGACACGCTCCAGCCTCGTGTTCTTGTGCAACGCTATTCCCTGTCTGCTGTGCAGTTTGATGCCTCTTCTCTTGAGATGTATGCTGTCTTTCATGAAATAGTCGAGAATATTAGCTGTCTGCAGTAGGTACTCCTCCTTCTTGTACACATCAGGCAAATTGTAGATGAAAATGTAATTGTAGTTCTTTCCGTCATCACCGTGTATTATGATGTTGTTCTTTATGGACGGCTCAAATCCTACGATGTGTGGCTTATCCAGAAAAACGTCCTTCAGAGAATCGTTCAAGCCCAGCACCTCGAGCTGAGAAAAGTTGTTGTTCAACTTGTAAATGTACTCAATTTTTATGTTCTTCTCTTCGTCGTAGTATCTCTTGAATTTGTTTTTCCAATTGAACAGGAGAAGCGCGATTTCCTTCATGCACAGCTCTCGATCATAAAAATCCTTCACAAACTCGTCGTTTTCCAGAGCAATCGCAATCCTGCGGATCTGTGATTTGAGATAAACTACGTCTCCGTTACATCCGAAAAGAATGTTCAGGGACATATTGAACGCGGTGTTCAAAATTCTGTAAAATTTGATCTCCTTCTTCGGCTCCAGCGCAAGCTTTAGAATTGAGAGCAGCTGTTCCAGCGAATATACCGTATATGAGTGCTTGTTCTTTGCTATCTGCATTATCTTTTCAATTTCCCTCAGAGACAGACCAGAGCCGGGACTAGCGTACGGCTTGTTAGCAGGAAGTGTATTATAGGGCATAGCGGTATTGAACCCTCCACTTGCACCGCTGTCCTTTCCGCCCTCGGCATCCTTCTCATTCCCACCCGTAATACTCATATTAACGCGCATCAGTTCCAAATAAACTGTTTGTGCACCAACGATCAACATTCTCTCAATCAAGGCCTCGGCACAGTAAAAGTCCTCGGTTTTCAACATCTCAGCCAAGTTGCTGACATAGAACAGGAACTCTCTCATATCAATGTTATCGATCTGCTGTTTAAGAATGTCAAAGTTGTAGTTCCTCATGTAGTTGAGGAGCACGATGATTCCGTGCTTACTGTTGGACTGCAAGAACGCAGCAAACAGTTGCCGTACGTTTTCTTTTTTTGTCAAATCGAGAGTCTCCTTGAGGAAGACTGCCCAACTGTACCAATTCTCTGAAAGATCTGCCAACTGCACACTCTGTAAATACAACTTATTCGCCTCTTTCTGGTCGCTTATGAGCTGGGCTTTAAGGTTGAAGAGCCGAGCCTTCTGCGCCGCAGTGAAGTAGTTCAGGTTGGCAATGTTCACAAATTCCATACCTATCTGCGGGTTGCGCTCCTTGTAAATCTTCAGATCCGTTTCAATCTTTTCGTATGCATCGACCACCTCGATGTTGCTCAGAGAGAATATCTTGGTTATGGTGTGCTGTGCCACATCGTAGTGTCCGTTTTCGTAGCAAACCCTGCCCATCATATTGTAATTTTTTGCTAGCTCGTGCAGCGACTTCAAAGAACCGCTCAGGACATTCGAATGATTACGCAGCGTCATCAAATACGACCACTCCCTACATCCCTCAAAGTACATGGGCACCCTATCCTTTTTAATGCCATCATCCCGTATTTCCATGGTCACCTGCAGGTTGTTCAGAAAGTGTCTGTCACGGTATATCATGAGTTTGTGGATATTGCGGTCCAACAATCTGCTGTAAGTGGCATCATCGTTGTTTAAAAACGCATTTATCAGCAAACTCAGATTCTTGTCGCTCTCACGGACGAGCCTTACCAGCGCACTTCTTTCCTCTTCCACACTCAAATTGCTCTCTTTCCACAGAGCCTCGGTCACTAAATCAATGTCATTGTTCATAACACCTATCTCCTGCACTAAGTCCCACTGTTCAAGTTCTTTAGCGCACTCGATCCACTCTCTTTCCCAGACTTGTGCCTCGTCTTCATCAAAAGGTAACTCTTTGTTTATCCTCTCCAGCATTTTCTGAGCCGTTATAAAATCATCAAACTGCATCAATTTTAATGCCTCTTCCGTCTCCGTATACTTTGCGTTTAGTCGCATCTCAGCGTAGTAATAGTCACTATCGTTGTTCGTTGGCGCCAAGAATCTCATAAAGCTGTTTTTTGTGCCGCTGCCCATTGTGCTCGTTTTCTCGTAGCTGTTCACGTTTACCTTCTCGGTATTACCACTCGTAGCAACGGCACCCGCATCGGCCGACTTGTTGTTCGCGTTCTCTTTCTCCTCACACTCGTTCTCTATCTCGTAGTTTTTGTACTGCAAGTAGTTCATTTGAACATCCTCAATGTCCTCATCCATCACCTTCAATAAGCTTTTTCTCATATGAAACAGCAGCTGGTCATCGTAGAACATCAGGTCTAAAATATCTCCCGTCAGATTTTTATCACCAAGAAGCAAATCGCAATTATTTTTCATCATGGCAACTCTGAGATGAGCGAATGCGTCGCTGCTGAGATTTAGATTAACACCACTCTTTAACACCAACCCAAAGAACTGTTCTCTTAGCTCTTTGCGTGCCTTAAACCCTTTAAAAATGCTGCTGTCGATTACTCCTCTTTTTTCGTAGCTGAGCAAAAGCAGGTCCAAATCCTCGCCAACCTTCTCATTTTTCACAAATATTTCGGGCGGAAGAACGCCATGGCTGTTAAGGAGTTTGATAACTGCGAGCGAATTGAAATTCGGCAGTTTACACACAGCCTTGCAGTAGTTGACCGCCATTGTCACAAAATTCTCAAAAATAAGCGAAGTTTTGTCACTCGCGCTGCCAGCAGGTTTGCTCGCTTGATGTCCACCGGCGCTGCTCACATCATCTATTTGATCCATGTCTTCGCTCCGCCTGATCAACAAGTGCTCGAGTAGCACAAATATCACCGAATGATTAGCAAATTCATCAATCAACTTTCCTAACACTTCCAGCAGCCACTCGACATCCAGAAAAGGGATAAATTCTTTGAGCTCGTCTGCAAATTTATCACAGAACATTAAATTGGAAATGTTATTTACTGCACTCAGCAATTTCTCCTTTATCTCCAACTCTAAATTCTGCTTCTTTAACTCTTTGATGAGCAGCGTGATAAAATTGGACACGTTTATCGTTTCAGGGTTGATCGACAGACACGACATTCTCAATGGAACGACGAAGTAATCCTGAAACTTGAGGAACGAAGGATCTGTGGTGTGTGCACAATTGCTGAAATACAATGAATACAAGGACGAGAGCGTGCTGATCTGTGCATCAAGAATCACATTGTAGGTACTCTCCTTCTCCGTGTTCAGTATGTTACTGTATTTTTCGCTACCATTGCCCATACTTGCTTTCACCCTCTCATTGTCTCTCATTATGCTCTCTCTACCGTCCCTTTTCTCCTTTTTCATCATTATGTAATTGTTGACCACCAAAAGCAGGCCTATCGCAACCTTCTGGTGAACCTTAACATACGTGCTGAACAGCCGACACACAGCATCGCAAAGCTCAAAGACAATCTCATCATTCAGAATTTCGTTTCTTATGACAAGCGGATAAATTATGAATAAATGTGTTTTGTAGAATATTTCCGTACTCAAAAGATTGTAGATTTCCTTTTTGAGATCGTATTTGCGCGTGAGACTGTCAAATGCCTTGAAGACATACCTCTTGTATTCGGTAGGTGTGCCCGATAAAATATTGAAATATTCCTTTTTGCTGTCGTACAGGCTGAGATAGCAGATGCACGCAAAATCTCTCTCGTTTTGTCGGCAATAATTGATGATGTCCTTATTTTCGTACTCGGCAAGGTAGCTGTGGAAAACAAACTGGTTTTTGAGAAAACGGTCGTTGCTGTTCCTGAATATTTCGATGTTGCTCTCCAAAACTTTGTAGTTCGCAATAAATTTTTTTTCATTGAGATAGTCGTCTAGAATCAGAGAATTTACGTTGCACTTTTTGAACGGTGTTCGGCCCGGGCTGCCAGAGTTATTCTGCACTCCCTCCCCATTTTCTGTCTCAGCATCCGTCCCGCCGCTCTGCGCAAGTTCACCACCAAACGCGTAGTAAAACACCTCAAACGGATTGTTGTAGTCCATTTCATCAACACTTCTCAGAAAATACTCAAGAAGTGTTTCTTCGTTCCAATCATCAAATCCGTTCCGCAGAACAACATTCTTGTCAATCACGTACTGCAGCTCCTTCCGCAGCCTGTTTTTCACAAACAAATCGCTAATTCGTAAACTGTACTTGATCAGGTCCTCCTTTGTCGGATTCATAAAAACGAGCGATTTTGGAGTGTGCGGCAGTTCAACACTTTTAGAAAGAAGCGTTTCCACCGCTGGAAACTTGAAGAGCATTCTACAGTGATCAAATGCTATGTCAACATTAGTGAAGAAGATGTGGTAGATCGAAGGATTGTTCTGCAGAAGATTTTTGAGGATCTTTTTGTCTGGCGGCGTGGCGAGAAGAACCTTAACCAAGCGTATAAGAACATCTTCTGGCAACGAAAAATGCGAAAGAATGTGGAGGGAATCAATTGTCTCAAGCTTGAGCAGCTGGTTAACCTCCCCCTGCTTGTTAAGCAGAGTTATCAGGTAATGAGGATGCGTCTCAACTAGAAGTCTAAGTTTGTGTATTTTGTTCTCATCGATCGTGTTCGTTAACTCGCTCAGACTGTGGTGGCAGATATTATCGTAGATTTCCTCCGCCTCTGGCATGTACGAGAGAAGTTGTCTCAGCGCTTTTTGGCATGTCTCCTGGTCAATGGCATTGATGAACACCGATATGATGTGGTGAAGGTGCTCTTTACGGTTTACAACGGTGCAAACAGCACTCAAAAATTTCAGTGCACTGTGATAAACCTCTGGCCGGTTCATAATACGCGTGACAAAGTTCATAAAGGCATAGAAATTCTCATCCAAATCGATAATGGGCGGTCTGAAGAGAAAGACGTAGCTCAGATTTTCCAGTATTCCGTTGATATTCGCCTTGTACTGCAGACCGAGTGTGTTTTTCAGGATAAGCTCTTTATAGCTGCTCAAGAGATCTGCAACTGTCATGCCTCTCAGCTCACAAAGGTACTCTAGCGCAGCTTGTGATATTTCTCTTATACTTCCGTTTACATTGGCAAGTCCATGTATAAGAGTGATCTCCGTTTCTCGGTGAACATCCTGCAGTGATTTTCTCAAAACAAGAAGTACCGAGTTCTGCACTTCGTCCTTCACTGCAAACTTGCTTTTTTCAACGCACGTGAACAGTGCCTTGATGATTTTTGACTGGTACTTTTCTATCCCATTCAGATCTTTGTGTCTCAACAGATGCATCAGACCAACAAATCCTGCCTTTCGTTTCTTCTCGTTGCAATAATAGCATAGCTGCATATATTTCTTCAAAAAGAGATTGAAAGGATAGTCCTTCTGTATTTTTATGCTCAGCGGCATATGAGTCGTCTCGACTAAGGCGTTGATGAAAAAGTCCCTCAGTGCAACATCTTCTTTCATCTCGGTAACACTGCACTCATATCTCGAGCTTTCTTCACCTTGGTTCGACACCCCGTATTCTTCGCCACTCTGTGGAGTGCTTTTCACACCGCAAGTGTCCCTTTTTTCGTGCACAATACCTTCCTTATGCTTCTTGATACCTTTATCCGTTCTCATACTGTTCGCCATGCCGCTGTCTTTCGTGTTTTTATTCACCACATTTTCATAGAACCAGAACAAGAAATTCTCATTTTCCTCCAGAAAATCAACATCTCGCAGCTCCAGTAGACCAACGATCGCATCATACGCTACTTGGCTTGGCCTCTTTATACTGCTGAGAAAGGCCCTTATTATCTTGAAGCAGGCATACAAAACATCACCTGGCGCACTTTCGATTTTTTTCACGTTCCGAAATTGGACAAAAGAAACTTTGAATTCGCCAAAGCTTGGCATTAGGGAACCACAACGTATAAACTTGATGGCAGTCAATAATACTTCATCAGCTGGTATAAACTCATCCTGTCCAGACAAAACCACCTTTAGGAGCGTTTTACTACTTGGAAGTATGTTCTCCGTCAGGTAATTCTGCTGATCAAGATACACACGATGCCTATCCTTCAGTTTGGTAAGAACACGCGCAGAAAGAAGGCGGGTCTCTTCGAACTGCAACAAATAAAACAGATTGTCAATGACCTCGTACATCTCGTCATGGACCTGCTCATCAATGAACTCAGAACGAAGATTTTCCAGACAATTGTCGATAAATCTAAGCGAAAAAATTTTGAGCCTGTTTGAACCTCTCATACCGATATTCAAGGCATGCACCAACTGTCGTATGTGTGGAAGGAGGACATTGAGACTCGTGGGAATGGAAAGCAATGTTTCAACGTACGTTTCAACCATTGGATATAAGTCGATAAGGAAATTGAGTGTTTTGAAGATCACTGGAAATACTTCGTAGATCACATTGAATATTTCTCCGCTTTTGTTGTAATTGCTGCTCAGGATGTAAAAAAAGTCGCGCAATATCTCAAAGAATTGCGGTTTCTTTGAAGTATTGAGAAGCACTGGCAGTGTTTTCCTGATGTACACAACGGCGGTATTGATCTTGTTTTCCGGTAGCGAAATAACAACCTTGAATAGCGTATAAAATATCTTTTTCAGGAATCCGTTTTTCTTTTTGGCTTCATCATTTTCGACCTCTTTGAGCACGTAGTCTTTGGTCTCTTTGATCACATCAATGTAGAAGTCGAATAAAGTCTTAGCCAAGGACTCAGAAACCGGCGTAAAGTTTAAATAAAATTGCAATATTTCGATCGCCTTCGGGTCAGCCACCATGACGTTCCGCAGGTTGGCTGTCACAATTTCCTTGAACGTTCTTTCATCAAAAAAGACAAAAATCAATGCCACATCTTTCAGATCAGCCATCTTCGTAACATTTTTGATGCAAAGATAGAAAATCTTTTTCAAAACATTAATCTCGTACTCACACAGGAACGATATGCTAAGTAACACGTTGCCAGATCCGCTCGCCATGTACTTCGTGACATTTTCAAAGATTTTTACAACCTTTTTTATGATAAAAGTGTTGTCAGAACATGCGAATATTCCATATATAAGAGGATATGTCTTCCTGTAGAACGCACACTGTTCGGAAAATGGCATCTTTTTCAAATTGAAGCATTCGACCGTCTTCTCCAGCGCATCAACTGTCAGTCGCAGACTGTTGATCTTGTCGCAGCTAAATTCCACATCCTTTCCGTCTATGTGCTCAGCAAACAGATCCATATCAGGCATTTCCTGTTCAAAGACATCCACAACGCTTTCAAGGAGGAAATACACGCGTTCGACACTCACCTTCTCCCAGAAGTTCATGGATAGATCAGCAGCAAGATTCACTCCCTGGGCAAGCACCGGTCTGCATGTAAAGAAACCATTGGTATTCATGATCACTTCTGTATATGGCTTAAAAAGATCTTTCTGGTTGAGCGCCACGAGATGTATTTGGTAGAAAATTTCCTTGCGCAGCTCTGGAGTGTCATTCGGTGTATAACTCAGCAGGAACACGCAGATCTCAGGAATAAGAGGGCTCTGCCTAAGCATGGCGCTGTCGTTTAATAACCGCAATAACTTGCACGTAACAGCGAGAAATTCGAGCAAAATATCCTCGGATGAAATCAACAGCCGCATTGGCTCCTTATTCTCGATGTAGTTCTTTATGAAGTCGGTGAACTTGGGTATAAGAGGCTTTCCATACTCAACGTGATTCTTGAATGCGAAAATAAGGAACGTGAAAACCTCGCTGAGCATTAAAAGATGGTCTCTCACATGTCTAGTCTTTTCAATATTCTCAAAGATCTCTGTGATGAAAAGATCGACACTTGTGAACACTTTCTTAAGAATGTGTGGCTCCAGACTAAACTTTCTCACAAGAATGGAGAAACACTTGATTATCAGCCCTCTGTTAGAAAGATTGTCCTCTCTTAACGACACACAAAGCACATCCACCAGCTTCTCGATCTCTGGATAACTGGTGTACTTCAGCCTGAATACTAATTTCAGGATCAAGGACCTGTCATCGTACACAAACCCCACTGCATTCTTGTTGTATGGCAGCTCAGTGAGCATTTGGATCGAGAATGACAAAAAAGAGTCACTAAACTGCGATGATCGGTACACACACTCGATTGAGTTCTCGTTATGCAGCCATAATCGCAGTTTTTTCATTTTCTCGTTGGTGTTGCTTTCTGCTATCATTTCTTTTTTATGCCCATCCCCTTGATCCTAAATAAAAAATATTCGATTCTTTTGAAAAAATTGGTAATTTTTAGGAGGGTCCTGAGCATAACATAGTGGTGCAAATTCTGATCCAGGCAATGGTTTATTGTTATAAGGTGGCGGTGTATTTATTGGGACATAGAAAAATTATACTTCAGCTAAAAATTTAACTTTTTATGACATCCTCGAACAAGCGTTTCTATCACTGCGAGAGCAAAGTTTCAGCACAATATTTTAAAGATCTCGTGATGTTTTAGCGATGCAGAATATCGTAATTTGCATAATGGACACAATTTCATTGTGAAACCGGCATCTAATAGAGCAGATAAACACGTTTATACTGCTATAGAGGTATGTCTTGGTGGCGAAATGACTTTGAATTTGATCGAACATTGGCAAACTTACAAATTTTACAGCATGGCATTCGCTAAGTATGTCATATAGTGCAAAATAATTTGGAAAGGCTGCTAGTACAGCAACGTTTACCTGAGAGATGTACTACAACGAATAATAAAAAGAAACTTCGCACTATTTTTACTTAATTCGGTACGTCTCTTTGTCGAGACTTACACACCTCCCTGATGCCTCCAACATCAAATCCACCAACTCGTTAAATTCAATAACATCCCTCAGACAATCAAAGACTTCGTAATATTGCCTCTTCATAGGGTTGTTATCAATCAACACCGGCGGATAACAGTCCGGATCATCAAGTACAAGAGTCAGTCGCTTAATAACGATTTTCTTTCCGTTCACTGCCGGAAGTTCAATGTCTTCGGCACAAAAGTTCGCAATTTTTAGAGACTCAAGATTTAGCGGCAAGCAACTGAAAATACGTTCGCATTTAGCGATGCATCCGGTGAACACTAAGTGTCGTATACTTTCACATTCTCTCAATGCTCCAAAAGTTTCCGAACTCATCTTACACCGATTCTCACATAAGCTATCAAAAATCTTTCTGTTAACTACTTCAAGTGTTTCAAGCTGATTCGGAATGTTTTCGACTAACTCTTTACCAAAAAATGCACAATCAATAACCAGGACCTGCAAACTTGCGAACTCCTTCAACGCTTTTATATTTTCTTCATCCAAGCCACATCCAACCAAGTTTAGGTATTTTAACTTATTCCTAAGGCCAAAAGTAAAAATCTCGCTCATAGCAATGTCCATTTTTAAATTCAAAAGATTGGCATTGTGCATCTGGAACCTTCCAGGCCCAAGTTGGTACCTGGCAAGCTTGCGTGCAGACCACGGATTTTTGCCAGAAAAGTCATAAAGATCGTGTATGACAAACGATAAAAGCGGATACCGGCTATGCTTTTTCGAATAATTCAGACTGCGAATGGTTAAACTTTCCAAACTGGTGCTTTTAAACAGATCGGAAGTGAGGCAATCATTGTTCAGATTGTAAGCAACGTCCAATTTTCGAAGACTTTTCAGTGACGGGAGCTTCATCCTAAACATTGACTTATTATTCAGCTCGGGAGTCAAACTTAAAACTTCAAGCTTTTCAATTTTGGATAAATCGTACGTTCCTATACAACGACAAAAACAAACTTCGATGCATTCCTGATTAAAACTAAGTTGAGAGCAAACCACCACTCGCACATCCTGTAACACGATGGTGCGCAAATTACTGGGAAACACAACCTGTTCCTCTATGGTCATGTCTTGCAACACCAAGATTTCAATCGTAGTTGATTTGGCAAGAAGGCTCTTAAGAACATGAAGTGACATTTTCTTCAATATTATTTTCTTAAGACGTAACGCTCGTGAGAAGTCGACACTAGCAGTCGAAGAGTTCAGTTTTAAGCATTCACATCCTTGGCCAAGCGTTAGGCTAACACCGGGTGCTGTCCTAATACATTTTAGGCGAATATTTTTCAGATCGTCAGGGAATGTCACATCTTTTTCAAACTCGCAATTCACAATATGCAAAGAACCGCCGTCTTTACCAACTGCCCGCCTATCAAAATACAGTTCATGTTGATCATTCATTTTCATCTCTCCTAGCCCAGCAACGCCCGACATGTCAATCACACCTATGAATTTGGAAATAGAAAGATGGGAGATATGTTCATTAACTCTGATGACAAAACCTGGTGTAAGAGTGCTGCGCGTTAACATAAAAGTGTGGAGGCAAGGCGTAAGATCAACATTGCAACTAACGGTCATTTCCTGAACGCTCAAATACGACAATGAAACATGTATTGAGGGATTGTAAACGAGCGAGGTTGCATTGATCAGTGTTATTGCCCTAAGATTTTTGGCATTTGTGGCATCGATGCTTAATTGTGAACAATGTACTCGGATGCTCTCCAAACCGTCGTTTAAGTATAATGCTGAGCCTTCTTCGGAAGAAACTTTGGAAAGAGACAGAAAGCTCACGTCTTTCTCGACTCGCCACATACCGTGAATGCGGTTACCAACAAGTTCCAACTTGGTAAGGTTTTCGGGAGAAGAGCTGACCAACTCGAACTCGTCTGTAGGCATAACGCGCAATGGTGACATATTTGTGGCAGCATTCCTTAGAACGCCGGTAATATTAATCGGAATGCTGCACTTCAACACGCAAATATCTGCACAGCGGTCACTCAACACTGCTGAAATGTTTGTACTGGCAGCCGACTCACCAAATTCCGGACTTGTTCTTCTGGCATTCGAAGAAGACATTGGATCGTTGCACGAAGTAAAGTGCATGGCCTCAGACTTATCAAGTAAAGTGCACGCGTTAGATGACATATCCAATTGCTCGAGACGAGACAGTTCTATCTTCTTGAATGACGTAACATTCGGAATAGAAATTGGTCCTGTAAATTGATCCAAGATCAAATTCTCGCACCGCTGGCCGGTAATAAGCAGTGAATCAATTACTGTGGTATCATAGAATTCAGCAGTTGCTATGTTCATCTCAATAGTTAATTTTCTGAACGAGCAGAAGCATACGAGAACATCGTAGCTATCTTCTGCTGTTTTGGCAATTACTAAACGATTAACACCGATTTTCATTTCAATGGTACGAGATTCGCTATCGGAGAAGATGCCGGGGATTTTAAACCGTCCTTCACAGCCATTCAATGCAAGTTTTTTGAAGCTCCTATCAATGGCAACGTAGTCTGAACTTGATACGATGACGTCATGAAACTCGAATTCTTCTACTTCTGGTCCAAACTGTGTCGTTTCTCTTATTTTGAAGTCGGATATAAACAAGCGATAAGTTTCTTTGCCATTCAACCTGCTGAAACGGAAATTTTGTCCTGGCATCACAAAATGAAACATACTTAGAACCGAAGGAGGAACACATCCAAATCCTAACAAAATCTGATGGAAATACGGCATGCTTTCAAAGCATATCCTACCACTAGCACAGTTGTGTAGAGAAACTTCTTTGATATTTCTGTTCAGGTTAAGGAGATCGTCGGTGTTAATGTAAACACGTGACATGTTCACCGTGGACACACCAGGCAAAAAGCATATAGAACGAGATATATACGCTTTTGAAATCGATATTTCAAACAGCTCTTCGTTTTCTATTGTTTTGCTGCAGCAGAATGATCCGGCAGAGAGCATGCACATCAATGGAATGTCAAATGTTAAACCATGAACACGTATGTTGCCTTTAAAGTCTTCGATTGTGATCTTTTTGATATTTTTTGGCAGTATCATAGGACGTTTACCATCCATTCGGATTCTCTTTAACGTTATCTCCCGTATGTTCTCTGGCACTTCGATTTTACAATCCGGCAGCGTAGCATCTATCACCGTTAGTTTCTCAATAACATTGTCGCTTCGCAGCAACTCAACCGTCGAATAGCGATAGAATCGGGATTTAAATATTCTATCGACATAGGGAATGCGAACACGACCTGCGTTTCCAATGATGCTGATCCGTTTGCAAGCATCTGCTACTCTTAGTTCATAATTTTCAGCGATTTCAACCTTCTCCAGGGTAATCGCTTCAAGTGAATTTGGCAGAATCAGGTTGCAGGAAATTTTGGATTCAACAATCGATAATACCTTTAAATTCGATGGCATTTCCATGTCACTGCTAAAAACACTTTCTCTGTAGTAAATATGCATCTGCTTATCCTGCACGTTACCGAATCTTAGGCCCTCCAGAACTCCTGCTAGTCGGAGAATGCATACTTCAAGACAGTCAAACGTAAAAAACCGAAAGTTGAACGTTTTGCTAAGCTTCTCAGCAATAATTTTGATAGAAACCATTTTGTCTGAATGATTCTTTTGCACATCATAGAAAACATCTGAAAAATCGACATCAACCGTTAATCCAAAACCTGAGGATAGGTCTTCATAAACTCTGCACAAGCAATCGTGATTATTGATCAAGAAATAGCCATCCATACGCATATACCGCGGCTTGAAAAAGCGATCTATATGCTGCAAGCTAGCACACACAAGCGGTTTAGCCTTACTATTACAAGATGCTATTGCTGCACTACCAAACTGATCCGAAACAGACAGGCTTATAGAGTTACTCATTTCGAGCACCACATCCCGTAACTTATCGTAAAAGAATGCCTCTTTTCGATGGGTAGTTTGTTGATTTGCGTTGAGCTCCACTTCTCGATGCACTGCTTCAAGCCTGTTATTTAACTCATGATCATTCAAGAGCTGCTGCGCAAACACACGTAGAAATGGCGATTTGTTACGTATAATCAACCAAAGATGACGAATAACAGCGTAAAGTTCCATGTCAGGGAACTTAGCATCGCTAACTGCTGTCAGGTGTACCACCTTCATGAACAATGATTTTGCGACATGGATCTTAATTGTGCGATACCTGCACCTATGATGATCGCTTGAACACCCTTCGACCTCCGATCGAAAAACATGCAGAGAATCATTGATGGTATCGTAGTCGGCGATTTCAAATTCGGATGAAAGACTTGTACCCTTGATATCCGACAAATTCACATCTTTCAAATCATCGCACACAATTGTACTGCTTTCATTTTGCTCGCCTTCGCCGTTGAACCACAGGATCCACCTCACGAAAACATCAGAAACACAACAAAGAGAACGATTCATAGAGCGAACATCTTCCATCCTTATATACTTTTAGATTCATGTTTTGACACATTCCATAAAATACATGCATCTAAAATGGTAAGTGTAACTTTTATTTTTGGATTAAACTTTCTAGATTTTTGACATAATCCTTTTATAGATAGACAGATGATAAATAGCATCCGATATAGAAAGATATCAAGGCAAATATGAAAGCTATGCGCTCAGCGCGCTTGGAAAGTTTCTGTGTTGATGGCAAATGTTTTATTCGAGGAAACTTCCAAAAAGTCGAACAATTTAGTGTTTTAGTGGACACGCTGTACTGAGTTCATTAACGTGAACATTTATTCCGTACGAGCCACGAAATTCTACGTTGCCGTGCAAACACAGATAAAATAGAATGTGCCGGTATGAAACATGGTATTTGACCTATAAATGATCGTCTCATTATAAATTTAACGTATTTACAGTATCAGCACGTAATATTTTTGTTCGAGAGGTGTTTTCTTTTTGGATCCATTGGTGTAGTAAAATATTTGACACTTAAATTTTTTTACGTGATGATGAGCAGCAAAAGAACGCATCACAGTTGACTCGGTTTGGAGTTTTCAATTTATTGCTTAATTGAAAATGGACCTGCAGATTGGATTTTTGGCGAGAAATGCAGCATGTCACACGCCGTACTATGTTTGTGTTTTTAACTTCTTTCCCATTTTGCTCATCTACGTGTCATAACATGTAAATAGAAGAAAATAAAAAGATCTTATTTTATGTGAGGCAGTATATAATCGTGGTTCTACACGTACCGCAAGGTTGTGTTATCTCCAATATCAGAACATGAATCAATGATTTGCTCATGTATACAGGTAAATGAATGTGCATTGAACAGTGCACTTTGTATTACACACTAATTTATGATTAATTCTGTGTAATCACAATATTTTATTTACTTTTAAGCCGCATCTCCATATTTAGAATCTGCTGACCGGTCTGATTTGAACCGCTGATCATCAGTGTACTGTAAATTAATTATAGTCCTTAAAGCGTGATGGTGGTAGCGGGCGTGGCGCAATGGTTAGCGCGTGTGACTTCGGATCTCAAGGTTGTGGGTTCGAATCCCTCCGTCCGCGGCAGTTTTGGAGCTCTAGAAATGTTTTTTATAACTGGCAGGTGATGCCATCAGATCGCATTGTTGCTGTGATACAACGTGTCAAGTGTTTACCATTTATTTGTGCTTGATTGAAACTTCTGTTCTATTCTGTGCTCACAAGCGACTTTGTTGCTGGATGGTCCTATGATCTGCGGACAGCGCAACCAATACCTGTTATGCTCGGCAAGGTGTGAGGCTCTAAGAGATCGATTAACAATATAATCATATTCTGTATTTACGTGAAAGATTATTTAATGTATATTATGGTGATGTAATGTGATAGAACTGGTTTCTTACATCATATACTTATATCACCCGCTCATGCTTCATTACATTCTTTATTTGGTATGTTCATATTAGCTGGTCATCATTTCTTGGTTAGAAACCTGGTAATGTCACCTCAGAACTACAATGCATGGACAAATTTCCTGACGCATCGAATGCCTGCCATATTCTACGGCATTAGGTTCATAGTAACAGATCATCTTGTTCATCTAACAAATTACCAATTTAAGGCAATCATTTGTGTCAATCAACAAATTCGTCATTTCCACCACACATAGGCCTAAATTAGTTCGTATTATACAAATATCGCAAATAAACACATCTTTATCGTATATCTCCCGTATGTTACGTCCATATCTCAGATTAACCAGCAACTGTAATTAAACATATTCTAAGACTAATACATGGCATAGCTGGCAATTATGTATAATCACAGTTCTGAAACATTTGTTATGTTGTATGTGATCTTTTCTAATTGATCAAGCCTTTGTATGAACATGCATGATAGGTCTTTTAAGCGCAAAAGAATATCCTGAACGATGCTTATTATTTAATGTAATGTCACATCTTTATCACAGCTGTTCCTAGATAGCAGACACAATTTACCTCTTTTGCCTCAATTCCAAAGAACAAATTACTTTCCGTCTTTTAAAACATGTCGCAAAAATTGGTGTTTTAAATTCATACCCATAGATTTTATTACATGAAGAACTTCAATCTGGAAAGCATGCGCCATCTCACAGAAATAGAAAACATCTTTATCGAGCTGAAAAAGAATCGAGTAAGCCGAAAGACGCAAGAACAGAGGCAAATTGAGTATAGAGATAGCACAGAGATAGAATTGCTTACACTGCGTATTAAGGAGTTGGAGAATGAGGTGTTGAGATATAAGAAACATGTGAAAAAAATGAGTAGGATGGAGCAAGAGAGCGAAGTCGCGCGAATAGTGAGCGAAAAAGATGCGGTCATAGAAGGACTTAAGAAAGAATTGACCGAAATGAATAGAACAATTGTTGATTTGAAGGATAAAGGCGAAAAAATGCGGCATGAATACAACAGTAAGATCGAAGAATGTAGAAAAGATCGCAGTACCCTGATAAATAACCATATGGATGAGATTACGATGCTTCAGGCAGCACATGATGCGGCAAAAAATGGGTTGCTGGGTGAAATAGTAGTTTTGAAACAAGAGAGGATGGCTGTTGATGATGAGAAAAAAGCGATGGAGCAGACGATACAAGAATTAGAAATAAAGGTTGAGGAGAAGAAAGCATTACAAAAAATGGTATCAGAGTTTAAACATGTCGAGAACAGGTACAGATCAAAGATACTCGATCTACAGAACAGCATACAGGTTTATGTGCGACTTAAACCTAAAAAGAATGCATTCGATGAGATTACTGATTGTGTTAAATACACGATGAGCGGTAACTCGCTAATTTCAGAGTGTGAAAACAGGAAGAACGTGTTCGAATTTGATAGAATACTATTACCTGATTGTGGGCAGGAGAACGTATATGACGAGATATGCAGTGTAGTTCATGGTTTTTTGCAGGGATACAATGTCTGTATCTTTGCTTATGGCCAAACAGGGAGTGGAAAGACATATACCATGCTTGGAGACGATAATTCACTCGGACTCATTCCCAGGACGGTTAATAGTGTGTATGATGAGCTGACTGGAAAGGATTTTACGTTAAAGTTGCGAATTACTGAAATTTATAACGAAAAGGTGAGGGATTTAATAAGCAACGATAATTTAACGAGCAACGGGCTGGAAACAACCAGTGTTTTAGTTCACAGCAAGGAGGAGATAATGGACTACATCGAAAGAAGTACTAAATATAGGGTGACGGAGGCAACAGACTGCAACTCGTCCTCGAGCAGAAGTCATTCCATCTATTCGTTGCAACTGAAAGTCAAGGGAAAAGGAGAAACCATTGAAAGTACATTAAATTTTGTCGATCTGGCCGGTTCTGAGCGAATCAAGGAATCTCATGTAGAGGGCAGAAGGCTGAAGGAAACACAAAATATTAACAAGAGCCTCTTAAACCTAAAAATAGTCTTCAATTCAATTATAAACAAAGATAAACACGTGCCATACCGAGATTCAAAGTTAACATATTTCCTTAAGGGCAGCCTCGAGAACAAATCGAAGGTTCTCATGCTGCTGAACATATCAATTGACGAGAAGGACTACAACGAAACGCTGTGCTCGCTGAGATTTGGTCAGGTAGTCAGCACTGTGTGTACTGGAAAAGGGGCCAAGCAACTTGTAAAGGAAATAGAATGATGTTATAATAAACGCCTTTATTAAAATATGCCTACCAGTATTGAAGTTTGCAATAAAGCATTGTTTTTGATGGTATAGAAGTGCGGTATGCACGTGCTAATTATCGAGCATTGCAACAAATGCGATTTATCTACATCGTTTGAATTTTCATAGTGAGATATCAACATTTTTGCCTATGATTTTGCGAAGAAAATGACGAATTAAATTATACGCAAAGTGTACAGGCGTATGTACCGCACAAGATCACCAATTTTGGTATATTTATTTGTTGAAAAAATTAAACACTACTTTGCCCCGCTCGTTTCCCAAAACTCGTACTAGTCTTTCCTCGCTGCTGCAGATCATCTCTTTCAAGTTGTTAAAGTTCTGTTGTATCCTTCGTATGCAAAACGAGTTTACGCCAGGAATAGACAGAAGCAGTTCGAGCATATAAGGATCGATTGTAAGCTGATTCACCCTTTCCTTCTCCATTTCTTTTCTTTGCAGGCATCTTAAAAGCTTTGCACTTAGAATATCGTTGTTGGTATAAATAAATCTTAGCTTTGTGAATTTGATAGCAAGAAGCACAAATTTAGAAATCAGGCTATTTTTGAAAATTTCGTTCCTATTGCTATACGCGGCTAGGCTAAGTTGGCTTTCATACTCTACTAATAGATAATAATTGCTGTGGTTAGAGGATAATCGTGTCATCTGTGACAACAATCTACCATTATTCAGACTCATTATGAGATCATAAATAGTCTTGCGCTCAACCACAAAATTGTCAAAGAGGTAGTCTCCTTCTTCTAAACACACCACTCGCACGTTATTTTTGGCTTTGTAAAGAAAAAAGGGAAGGGAAGCGCGTAGCTCACGGAAATCTACGAGAACATTGTATTTTGATTTTGAGGAGCATATATCCTCCTCTTCTACATCAAACTGCTCGTCTTCAACATCAATAAAAAAATTAAAGTCTTGCAAACCAAGCTTGGCCTTTTCATTTATAAAGCGCTCAAATGCTTCCTTCTCCTCTCTAATTCTTCTTACATATTGTTCTTCCTCATAACTTTCCTTGTAGTAGAGAAAGTAAATCAGCATTTTCCGCCGCATTCTTTCTATTTTTCTGAATGTACCGAGATTAAAATCCACAAGAACGACAATGTTTTGCTGTATTACATCCAAATCGTTGTGTTTTGCAAATTTTACTCGACTTCCCACATCTAGTGATAAAACAACTTCCTTGTTATGATCATGTCTTGATACTATGAGTACGTTCTCCTCAGGATGTTTTGATAATATTTTGTTTAACTCAATCAATTTTTTATTTTTGATATCTAAGCCGCTCTTTTTGCGACTATCAGTTTTGAGAATACAACGATCTTTGCTCGTCGTGACAGGAAATGTAGCACGGTCATCCGAGTGAACCTGTTCTGCCGTCTCTAAGCCAACCGTTTTACTGCTTGTAACGGTATCGGTCTCCTCCAGCTCAGTTTTGCTCTCCTTGCAGTCGTTATTATTTCCCTTTTTATCCTCAAGCTTCATTCGCTTCACATCTACCGCCCCATATGCGTTCTTTAAATCGTATTCATCATGGTTGTTTACTGATATACTCGACCAGTTCGGTACATCTTTTTCTGCCTTTATTTTTTCTATCACCTCCATCACCATATGTGATGCTGTGTTCAGTATCCATGTTCGGCCCTTATTTGCTATTTCTTGGTTGTAGATTTCTGTAAAAAATGCAATAAAATAATTCAAATCTAAGGTAAACAACAAACCAAGACTTCTTCTTAAGTTGCCCAGATCTCTTTGCAACGTTTGGCTGATGTTATTGAGAACATTTACCGGTATGCTGTGCTCTGTTGTTTTCTTGTCGTCCGATCCCGTGGCATGCACCTTTTTGCTAGTGTAATATTCATTGAATGAGATCCTTTTTTTGCTGTATTTTTCTTTTTCATTTGTTACGCTTTGTATGAGATCCATTAGGTACAGCTGGATCTCTTCGAGCCAACCACTCATTTTCATTTTCACTTCTACAAACTCCGAGGACGTGTTCAATTCTTCGCTTACATCCTTTTGAAAACGTGGAAAGAGTACAACATTGCGTAGCTTCAGAACACCAAGGAAGTCATCCAAATAAAAATGTCCTTTTGACACTTTAATGGCATCTTCTGTGAATGCTTTTATCACAGTGTTGCTCGAGTTAAGCGCCATGTAATGCAATACAAACGCAGTAATGGAATTTTCCTTTACCTCCTCGGCATTTACCACGAATATAGCAGAAATCAACTTTGCATCCAGGCTTTTATTGAGTAAATCAGAAATAAGTGCCTGAGCCTGGCATATTTTGACACCGCCTATTTTGTAATTTTCTATTCTTTTAAGTGTACTATACGTTTTCAGAGACGTAAATGATTCATTGGCGAATAGCGTATCGAATTTGTCGTTGGAATTGATTATCAGACACAGGGCATCTGGGTAGTTATAGAGTGAAGCAAGTGTTATCACCATTTTTGGCAGATTTAATCCTTCTGCCATCATGAGAAGATGTGGCTCAGACGAACACTCCTTGAGTACTAATTTTTCATAGCTGAGAAATTTCATGGACCAGGGATGAAATTATGTAGCAAAAAAACTGGCTTTGTTTTGATGATCTGATAAGCAGGATAAATGTACTCTGTCAAATATCTATAGTTTTAACGTTGGCGATACAAAAGTAGATGTTCACAAGCATATTGTTCACAGAGAGTTGCATTTGTCTGAGAAATAGAACCGTGCTAATTAAGAATCATCCATGAATTAAAAGCGCCAAGATAGATAGCACTTAGAGTATGCCCGGTGTTTTTGCATATCGACGTGTAATTTTGGAAATTTTAAGCAGACAAACTTAGGCGAACAAGTTTAAGAGACAAGTTGATCGGCAAATCAATTAAAATAGATTTTCCGCACTTTCAAAGATACAAAACTTTGCTCTCGTGCATTAGCAATGAATTATGGATTTAACCTTATTGTTCAATTTGTATTTTCCCAAACCTGCTCATCAATTGATAGGATAACACGATTTAAGTCAGCAATTAATTTTATCGAATAGTGTAAACAAGCGAGAAAAACAGGAAAAAATAATCGAAGAGATAAATAAATGTATTTCCAAACAAAAAACGGAAAACCTTATACACTTGACTAAAACCTTCTTTACGATGGTATTTGTTGAGAATGTGAGATGGAAATCCAAAACTTTCAATTTTACTTATCTATCAACTCTCCTTTTTAACAATGGCCTCAGTCTTTTTCCTAATAAGCACAAGAACAGCAAGACTTATCACCGCCACTATAATGAAGACCAGAATGATGTTGTTATTCATTCTGCTCATCTTATTTCCCCACTCGTTAACGAGATGCTGCGTTTCAAAGAGACTGCGCTGCAGGTTTCTGACCTCAAGTTCTAAATCACCAATCTTTGTGCCGATTATTTTGGTGCCATTTTGTTTCAACGATTCCGAAAGATTGTCCGTATTGGTGAGGATCTCTCGTATTTGCTTTTGTTGAGATATCACAGCGTTCTTCGCGTCCATCGCGCTTTCCAACACGGTGCCTCCACCTGGATGCCCGAGTATGCTCCGCAAATATGCCATCATGTGCTCGACTGCCGATATCATGTATTGTACCTCCTTCGATGGATGGTCGATGTCTGTACCATAACGCGGCAAATCTCTTGGTGCCTCTGAATGAACCTTGTACGGGTCGTATTCTCTGCTTTCTGTTCTTTCATAGGACTGAATGTCACGTATGACAAATATTTTGTCCATCGGCACTTTGTGGTATTGTGTAGAAATGCTGAAATATTTCTTTCCCTCTCGCGGGCCAAGAATAGGAGCTTCTATAAACCGAAGATTGTCATACAACAGCCTTTCGTCATCATAGACCTCAACTTTGAAGTTTTTCTTTGTGGAGATAACCTTGATACGGAAGTCGTTCACATCCCTGAACCTTTCGGGATTCACAGTGTCTCTTAAAATGATAATGTCGTCCGGGTGTCTTGGTACCTCTTTGCCATCATTTGCACCCAAGACTATTTCTAAACCACGGCCCAAAAACTCAATGCCCGTCATTAAGCCACTGAATCTGTTATTGACCCCGTTAAAATCGCCGCTGTGCATCTTCTGATCCGTGTACCACAGGTATATTCCTGCAAACTCGGGGTAATTCAGATGCAGATTCTTAAACTTGAACTCAAACGACCATTCATCTTTTGTATTCATGTGGTTGAAGTCGACCAATGATCCTTTGTCTGCACTCACCCTCATTTGTATGCCCTCCTTCTTGGCAATCGCGTGATCTAGAGAAACAAGCTTTAAGTCTTCCTTGTCAATAAACCTGATATCTCCAATTTTCGTTTCGTTATAATCTGCCTTTATGGCAACGAAGAAAGCAGCCAATAACATTTTGTTTGTTTATTAAAAATTTTCCTTAAATAGTTAAACACAAAACAATGTTTCAAACCATCAATAATAAAATTGCGGTGATGTAAACATTAGCATGATATTTCTTGTTTTGTTGGACGTAGCACTGGCAATCGTATGTAATTGCAGAGAGTATACGAGGGAGTGCCAAGAATATTGTGCAAAGGAGAGGCAAGATAACGGTTTATCTAAGGATAAGCTGTCAAATGAGATAACTGATCCAGGAAAAGGTAACAACCAAGCGAAAAACGCGGTTATTACTGCGGATGATGGGAAGGATAGCGCTGGACCTAAGCATACAGGTACTCTTAAGGATTTTCTGAATGATTCATTCAATATTGACACAGATGAATCTAAACGATCAAATGTGCCTGGTACGAAGAATAGCACGGCATCGAATACCGCCGAGACAAAGATTTTACAAACAGATAGAATGAGTGGTAGCGCGAAGGAGAAGACAGCTCAGAACGACAAAACAGTTGGTGATAAAAGGAAGGAAGCGAACAAGCACGAAAAAGGAACGTCCAATACTTTGAAACAGAGCAACTTGGTTGGCAGCAGCAATATGAAAAATGGAGCTGTAAATTTGGGGAGTGCTGGACTAAGCGAACAAGCAAGGGGACCAAATAATGTGGTGCAATCACAACTCACCGTATCGGACGTCTCTCATAACGCTATTGTTTCCACATCTCCCGCTGATGATTTAACGAAGTCGAATCTGACACAACCGATTGCCACTAATCAGGGTACACCGGTTGATAAAACTACCAGCTCAGCCAATGTAGTGCAGGCCACTTCTAATGACACCAAAAAAAGTCTCTTGGGTCGTGGTGTGCGGTTGGGTTCGAATGGCACCGACTTGGTGGAGGATCAAGCTGTAATTGGCAAAAGCAACTTGCTTGGTGCCAATGGCACCGAGAATAGGCAAACAATCCCGGAAAATTTGAGACAAAGCAGTCTGAATGAGATAGCAGGTCCAAGTTTAATACCCGGTGTGGTAATGAACGCGGCACCCGCACCTATGGACGTAAAAATGGTTGTGAAAGAGGAATCATACCCTGATAGTAATCCAACATTGATACAGCTGCCTGCTAAGCCTCCTGTTGCCATAAACGAAACACCGCAAAAGATACTTGTGGCCTGCTCACCGCCAGTGCCATCCATACCTAACGACGTAAATCGGACAAGTAATGACATCCTTGCACAGTTGATCACGCTGATTAACAGCCAGCAAAATCCAAATACAATCGCTCGTCCAGGAGCGAACGCCGGTGGTGGCATAGACACTGAGCATCGATACCTTAGAAACAGTGGCATGGATAACAATCAGGCGAACTACAACGATACGCAGTGCAAGAACGACGTGTCATGTATGCAGATAAAAGACCTACAGATGGGAGGAAACAAACGGGACAGCATGGAAGATAGACAAAAGCGAAACAGCGACCCATGTTTATTTTACAAGATGCTAGTTGATTACTCGAAGGACATAAACTTCCTGTCCCCAGACATGAAAAAAGAACTGAATCGTATAAAGAGCAAATTTATCGAAAGGTACAGATCGGAATTGAAGAGCTGTCTGGGAATGGTAGACGAAATTGGTGAAGTGAGAACACGTTATGCAACAAAAACCAAAGGTATATTTGACGGAATCGTAGATTTTTTTAAAGACAACAGTACGAATAGTAGAAATACCGAAAGACCAGGACTGCTATTTGATGAGATAAACAACGTAAATGGTCTAGGAAGTACAGCTGAGAGGCTTGACACGAATTCGGAATTGTCACAGAATTCGGACGGCTGGTCCAATGATATAACAATTACACGATATGTAACATTAGATGGTAATGATAAACTTGCAATTTTAGGGAGCAAGACTATTACTAAAACGGTTACGGTGAGCGAAGACCTGAGAAGTGAGAATGAGGAAAAAGGAAGCAGGTCAAACGACCAAGTGGCGAAAAGAGTTTACAAACGAGACATATCACAGGATAACTCGCCAAAAGAAAGAGAAAATGGGGATGCAGACAATAACTCAGAAAAAAACTCTCAAAATGAGTCATCTGGTGCAAGTAGCACAAAGGAGACTGGCAATTCTTATACAACCTCAACACTGCAGGAAACATCAGCGGTGGAAAAGACTAGCACAGTAACACAAACACTTACCAAAAGCACAACTATCATTATCACACAAGACAGCTCGAGCAGTTATTCGTTTACCTCCCAAACACATGAAAATGCAAAGAGCTCATACAGCGACAGCACCAGCCTAGATACATCAAGCAGCTCGTCACCCGGTGTTTCAAACACTAATGCTAGAACGGTGAGCGGTGATAACCTAGATATCTTGTCATTTATGAAAAGATTAGACGCAAATAACTATACGACTGCTAAGGATACCAACGGCAATAACATTTTAGAAAGCATCTACTCAATTATAATCGAAATTAAGAACGATGAAGTTGTCGGGAAGACAAAGAGTAGAGAAAAATCGGTGAGTGCCTCTACAAGCACCGACAAAGCTGTCAGCACGCTCACGATCACGCAAACAGTCGATAAACAATTAATAGGACAAACGGGGAGAGCGAATAGGAATGGTATGAATACCACTACTGTCACCAAAACGATCGAACAGCCCGTTACACCACGTGTTGGCACAATAAACAACCAAGAAAACATACTTAAGGAGATACGAGAGGAGCAAAAGTTGCTCATAGAAAAACTGAAGGATTTTTTGGATCAAAAAGAACAGAAAAAACTCGAGAACACACAACCTGCCAGTCCCAAGATGTTCGACAGCATCTATTCAACGGTCGACATTAAAACCATCAAACCAGCAATAGAAAATATGAAAAAAAGTATAGGCGCATTCAAGAAAGAGTTTAAAGTTGATTCGGACATAAACATTGAAATTGTTTCAGAATCACCAAGCATTGGTTCCTTCAGTCAGACCCTGAGTGTGCCCGATACAATATACTCGAGTGTTATCGCAGATGCAAAAGAACACAGAACATTATCGGGTTCAGATACAGAGACGATAAGCTTATCAGTACCTACTGAGACAGTCGAGCCTGAAAATTCTATGCAATACTACAAAACAATCGTTCTAAGGCACAAGTCGGGAGAAAATGACAAAGAAAATATTAAAATAAGAATAGAGGATCAGTCCGAGTCCAATTCAGACGTTGAAAAGGTGGTTGTAAGCGGTGAAGAGACATAGATTAGAAGCATGTATAATATATATGCGCTTCATAGATAAATACATAATTTCTAAACGATACTTTAGCACGTGGTGATACCCACTGTACAGTTTATTTACAACCACAACGTGCTGCACCCTGTTGATCGCGCTAGGCATGGTCAAAGTCATTGGTAAAGCGTTCTGGATGCAATTAAGCTGTCTGTCATGAACGTTCTGCTGAGGAGCGTGATAGACT